ATTGTCTCCCCCTCATTCCACTACACTCATGCATACTCACTGGACACACAGCCTGTTTCCCACCCACAAACCCCCAGACACACCTGGCGAAGATCTGTACTCTTCTAGTTTTCATCTGCCGATTGCTGTACACAATCCTTCTTTTCACTCCTGGATGACATCTTCAGGGCTTTGATTTTGCAAATGAAACCTGAGAACATCTACACACGGACAGCTGGAATTCATCATTAAAACAATTCTGTGCAGTTTTAGAGAATTTGGGGAATCTGAGTTGTCTTATGACCAAAGGTCAGAAAAAAGTAAGAGTGGTTCAGCATCAGAATACAAAAATGTTGTGGCGTGAGGCTCCATTGACGTCTACATTTTTAAGGTTTTAAAGAACCCTGTAGATTGTGGTTGCACATTGGAGAGGAGGAATATACACTTGAATAACAATGTTTCTCAAGCCTGGTTGAATGTTAAATAATATTTGAGCTACAGATCCACAGACTCATTAATCTCATGTCTCTCTTTCACAGGTTCGCTTTGTGAAGCCGGTGATGCCTGGTCAGTCGCTCCAGACCGAAATGTGGAAGGAAGGCAACAGAATTCACATCCAGTGCAAAGTCAGTATTTAGTATTAGTGTGGATGTCAGCCAGATTTGTGGATAAACAAGTCCGACTCGTCATTTCAGTGCCTTCCTCTGTCCTTTTTGTGAATGTTCTGCACGTGTCGTTGTGATCAGCGCTCTTCTCTTTCGCCCAGGTGAAGGAGACGGATGCCATTGTGCTAGCTGGGGCCTACGTGGATTTACACAGCACATCAGAGGACTCTCCAGAAAATCTCACTCAAGTACGACAGTAATCCTCCTCCTTTTCCTTTTATCAAATTCAGCTACACGAAGCCCTGAAGCTCCTTTCCTTTTAGTTCTGTAGACAATTTGGACAAAATAGAATTTGCACTCCAAACATCTCATGTCGAGTGTTTCTGTTACTTCTACCTTTTGTGCAGGGAGGAGGCCTTCAGAGTGAGCTGGTGTTCGCAGAGATCGGCCGTCGTATTAAAGACTCAGGCTCGGAGTTGGTCAAGAAAGTCAATGCTGTGTTTGGCTGGGAGATCACCAAAGACAGCAAGAACGCTGCGCAGTGGAGTAAGCCCGCTGAATTCTGAACAAACGCTTTAAACACGCTACTAATTCAGAGGCACTGCGATGTGGGAAACATATCGGCTCAGTTGAGATCTTTAATTGTCCCACAGAAGGAAAAACACAGTAAAATAATAAAAGACATACAAAGTGCTGGGAATGTACACATGATAGAGAATATAATAAACGGTTCATGTGATCAAAGCAAGAGAAAAGGGATGGGTTAAAGTGCTGCAGAGAGCCAAGAGGCAGTTTAGGCAGTATATTTTATATACATTGGATAATTTAAAACTTGAACTTCTGACAGGAAAGAAGGATGTCAAGTTCCTTTAAAGAGGATGTTCAAGATATTCTTAGATGGATTTATCTTTCAGTGAGATTTGTCTGTATCCTTCACGGCTGCTGCTCACCTTGACATCGTAGCCTAGCTGATTTCTGTTTCGCACAGTTAAATACCCATAACAACAACTCACGAGTAGGTCAGGACTGATGCTGTGATGGATTTGTAACACAGTCAACCTCCCTGTCGACGTTAAATTATTCAATTTCTGCTCGCCAGATTGTCTCGCCCTAAATTTGTTGGTGATGTTTTCCACCATTAAACATGTCAGTCCCTTTTAGCGCTCACTAAGCTGACAAGTTAATTTGACCCAGATTGACATGTTGCCAACAAGCTGCCAAACAAACCATATTAAAACTAGGACAAAAATCTGTGCTAATGACTGAATCATAACTCTGAACAAGTGAGTTGCAAGGCAGACAAAGCCAACCAACCCAGGGAAACAGTTGTCAAAGTGTTTATGATTTATTCCGTCTTCCATCTCTGCCCCCCCCGCGCTGTCTTCCTCTAGCCATTGATCTGAAGAACGGCAGCGGCTCTTTGCATACAGGCCCTTACAGTGGGAAGGCGGACGTGACCTTCACAGTGTCAGATGAAGACTTCATGGAAGTGGTGCAGGGGAAAGTCAACCCTCAGAAGGTAACACATAAGTAGTCGGGCCTATTCAGTCGCAGCAAATCTGTTTGTTTACCCGCTGTACTGTAAAGGGACTTATTCTCTCTCCCCACCCCTCCCCCCCTGCATGTTTATTGATGTGAAATATACAGTGTAACAGTATATCAGCACAAGGGAGCTCTGTAGCTGAAGTTTTGCAAAAACAGATGCTAAACTGGTGAAAAACAGTAGCATCGTAGCTTCAATCTCTGCTTTTTCCCCCTCCCAGACGTTAAAATCACTTCTTACACATTCTAATTAGAGTGAAAGTGCCTTTGAAGAGCCCTTCAATCTGTAAGAACTTCTCCCTTGATCTCATCATGTCGGGAAGAAAAATGGAAGGCAATGATCTATCAAACCAAGTTCAGAAAGCACTCAGCGAGGGTAATCAATCGACACTGCTTGTTATGTCTGTAGCATCTCATCTGTCACAGGGAGTGGCCATCAGTGGACAGAATTTCTATGCTTCCTGGGGCGCTTGATATTGATCTGAGGCCAGTGTGTGTGTGTGTGTGTGTGTGTTCGCTCCCTTACAAAGAGCACCAGCAGGCTGAAGGATCCCTCCAGGCGGGGTCTTTTCCAGCTTCTCAGACGATGAAAGGAGCAGCTGGAGAAAGATTAGTTGTTGGAGTTAAAGATGACACTGCTAACTGCCATCCAGGATCGTCATGACCGCCGTCCCCTCCGATTGATTTTAGCAGAGTAAAAGCGCTGCTCATCGTCAGTAGTCCCAATAAAGAGACTTTCTGCTGTGTCTCCCAGCTCTGAACCTCATGAATATGAATATTATCTCATTGTTCTGCTGCCAGAGCACCAATATTCACATATTCCCTTTTGCCCAAGACTTGGCCTGTTGCTTTTTCATTTGTATGAAGTGTTAGCCACAGGCGTTTTTGGCCCCATTTTACTCCCTGTGTACTTGAAAAACAACTAACAGCCAACCAGCTAGAAATCAGGAGACTTTTTGTTTTCTTTAAAAAAAATAAAATAAAAAATGAATTCCTCAAGTGTGTCCATGTTGTTTCGCCAGGCGTTCTTCTCTGGCAAGCTGAAGGTTAGAGGGAACATCATGCTGAGTCAGAAGCTGGAGGTCATCCTGAAGGACTACGCCAAGCTGTGAGTTCCTCGAGCCAACCAATCAGACGACTTGAGGAACCAACCAGCCTACCAGCTCTCTCCTTCTGTCTACTTTTTCTCGTCCTGATTCATGTGTGTGTACATGCTTTGCTTCTCGAGGGAAAGGCATGAAAAATCACTGAGTACCATTTGTACTACTCCAGAATGAATTCTCATATAAATTAACTTTCAGTGTAGTCATAAAATGTACAGAGATTGTAAAGACTTGTGTTTTCAGTTACAGCCCAGTCACTTCAGCTGGTTGCAGTTTACTTGGTTGGCTCCTTTATAGTCTGTCCTTGCTAAATGTGCACTTAACACACCTGCCTTCAAACATCCAAATAGGAAATCAACCACCTGGTTTGCATAGATTTGATCCAGTTTCACTAATAAGTTTCCATTTTTATTAAATAAGGTATTGTATTGTGTTTGTAGAAACAAGCGTCTACTACATCGAACCAAAAATCTTGCTGAACCCTGGGCAAATGTAACAATTACTATCTTCTTTTAACCCTAAACTTATAATTCAGCAGTCTGTCATTATGACTAATTCACCAGTCTCTTAAGTCAGAAGCAGCTTTATGTCCCTGATACTGCAATCTCAACAAACTGTATGAAATGTATACTAATGTAGTTTGATAGTTATGAAAATAATGTATAATAATTGTAATGAAATTCAACGGTTGCTCTTCTATGTAAAGGAAATAATTCAGACTAAAAGCTCGTTTCTGTATGTGTAATATTTTAGAGTTTTAGCCCATTGTTAAGCTGTCCTACCACAACTTTTACTGTCTTTGTTCCCCGCTCTCATAGCAATCATGTCCAGCAGCAGCAGGCAGCCATTTTCAGTGCAACATCCTTAAAAAACTCCACTGTACGCTACCTGCTCAGCACCAAACAGCAGACAGGTGTAGTTAGCAAATAGCTGGTGAACATATGAGGAGCTTTCAGCAGCTACAGAGCCAGATTTTTCCCTCAGGAGTTTGTTGAGACATACAACAGCTAAAAGAGGGAATACACGACTTACATTCAGCTGGTAGACAGAAACACAACTCCAAATGAATGATAACGTCGCTCCATTAGCGCTGGATGTTTACTCGCTATGAAAAGTACGATTTTCACTTAATTGTTAATAGTGCAATTATGACGAACGTCAATGGTTTTTGTTTGCCCTTTAATGGAAATAAAGTTATGCAGACTAAAAAAAAAGCTTAATTATTTTAATACTTACTACTATGAACAGTAATTGTTTAAATAAATCTGTATCTAATAAACATGTGGTTCTTTAGTTTGAGATGTGGCATTTTCCATCATTTACTATATAGACACACACAAGGTTTCCATATAAAGTGTCAAAAATGGGGAGTTACCAATATGTGAGAGACATTGTGTGGATGTTCTTATATTTCCCTGCGTTTGCTGAGACAATGACGACGGTCACCTCAGTTTTCAAAATTACAGAAACATCTGCTCCTGTTACATCATTTTTATTACATCGGTACATTTTCTGTATATAATACATCGATTTACACAATATCTTCATTATAAAATTAGAAGTATCTGGTCAAATTCACATTTGTAAGATTGAAGGGGGAAAAAAGGGAAGTAAAGAGTTGAATGTAATTATTTTTTTGATTTAGTCAAGTGAGTTTCGTTTAATCTACTCACACACCAGCTATACCCGACACCCTGATTCAGTTATACACATCCGTTCGTGATGAGTCTTTAAAGGAAAATAAGCAGAATTTGTGAAAAAAAAAAAGCACTTGCTTTGATAAAATTTATTTAATTCTCCAGTTTCTCTAGTACATATAGTTTGGCTTTGATAAAAATTAGTTTATTCTCAAGTTACTGCAGGAGTACACATCATTTTCCAACCACTTTGATTTGAACATGGTTGCTCAAGCCCACATCAGGAAATTATGAGAAACAAGAAAGACATAGTAAACTAATAAGAGAAAATAAGATTACACCTGCCTTTTGATCGATCAGTCTATAATCCTAAATATGAACATATTTCATAAATATACCTATATATTTGTACAGAATTATATTCTTCATAAAGTGGCTTTTGTCGTTACCCACCGTTTATCTACGACTAGTCATTATGATTATGCAGTCATTATGAGAAGCCTTGTCTATGGATCTATGTATGTACATAACTGCAATAAATCTGCTTTATCTAAAAGGTTTTCCTCAGTTTATCCTCCCTGAAATCAAAGCTAATGTACATTTGTTTCCCTACAGCAGCACAACAAGGTTCTATGGATTAGAACTAAGGATTATACTCCTTCAGACTAAACAGCTACAGGACAGTTGAACCCCTTCCTTATTTATGTGGAAGACACATCATATTACACACCAACCTAGATTACATTTTCCAAGCATGTACTGAAGGCAATGTGCAGCGTTAGGATGAAATAAAGAAACTGAATGATAAAAAAATAAAAATAAAAAAAAGTAATTACCAGAATTGTGACAAAGAAACTTAATAGCAAGCCAGATAAAGCAAGTCTGCTAATAAAATTAAGATGACTACAAGGCAAACAATGTTGCTTCCAAGGCAGTTTTTCCATCATGGTCCGTATGTAAAATGAAAGTTTGGAGTCGATGAAAGAGAAGAAGTGCATTGTAATTGGAATAAAACATTTCCACAACAAAATAGAATATACATTAAAACTTGTTTAACCTCCCCACCCCAACCCCCTTTCCATTGTCAACAGCAAAGTTTCCTGCTACATGTTCTGAAGCGTAATAGTGAACATTTGAAAAGAAAAAAAAAACGCACCCAGGAAATTATTATCCATGATGTCTCACACCAGCTGTTAAATTAAAGCTACTTTGTGCAACTTAATATCAATAATAATCATCAGGACCAACAGTACTATAGTACTGTGCCAGCATGGCAGAAGTAGTTTTCAGAGCTTAAGGACACTTAATAATAATACCACTGGTTAAATCTAGGCCTGGATAAACGAACATCGTACTATATATATATATTAATCTTTTTACCAAAGGCATGGGCCGCTTTCCCGACATCCAGCCTTGAATAGTTATATGCATTACACTACATATAATTTAGCTTAATTTTTATGTGCAAATAGAGTAAGAGAAATGGCGCATTCATTCATTTAGTCCATTAAAACTAAGAAAACGCTCGGTAGTGGCACACATGTAAAGCCAAGTCACAAATTTAAGATTATTTCTACACTTTTGGAGATATGCTTTTTTTAAACACCTAGTTAATCCATAAAACTGATTTTTTTTTTTTTGCTAGCCAGCTGCTGGCTGTAGCCTTTCGTTTAAGGGACTACCAGGAGAGCGATAGCAACCTTCTCATTTAACAGCTAGAAAGCAAAATGCCAAACTATTGCTTTAAATTTAAGATTGTGTTATTTCCATATTTATAAAAAAAAAAAAAAAAGTTTCATGAGTTCATTTCAAGTCAGGCTGGGAAAGGGCATCAGCCTAAAATTAAAACATTAAATAATAATGGTGATATGAAACTTCCTAAAGTGTGGTTTGATCGTGATGAACACCTGGTCCTCTGCTTTTCATTTGTGTTCAGAAATGTATATGGAGCACCGCAATGCGCCGAGAATCTTTGTGACTGGATACAATGTGCTTTGTACGACGTCCACTGGCCTTACTGCATTGTGCTGAGTGGGTTCAACAGTGTCGTACAGTATCGTGGTGACGTTCAAACCCCTAAAAGGGATCACTGATCATCCCTGTGCGAAACACTGCATACACGGTTCTGTATTTTAAATCACCTTAACAGTCCAGCAGTGATTCCAGAAGAGTTTCCACTATCATGACTGCTTCACTAATACGAACTGAGAGATATGGTATGAGAAGAACAATGCTGCAGCTTTAGACTCTTCACAGTCTCGTCACTCCTGCTCCTTCTACAGCTTCTCTTACTGTGCAAAAAAGAAAAGAAAAAGAAAGGCTCTCCGCATGCTGTTCAGTAGACAGAGTTTGTTTAGGAGTGTCTCCGGCTGGGTTTTTGTCTCTCTTACGGTTTATTTCGATTGACCGTGCCATCGGTCGTTACCCTGTGCCCCAATTTAACTTCCGCTACTGTTTAAAACACATGTAGAGGCTCCTGCATTCGGTCCAAGTCCCACACAAAGCACGGCAGACGCGATCGTTTTCCATGCGTGGTCACTCTTGGGCCCCGGGATCAGACAACACACTCTCACTCTGCCAGAGTCTGTAATTCCTATGAATAATCCACCTTCATTTACACTGATAACACTTGACATCATTGTTCTTGTCATGGCATCGTTTTCCCAAAAAATGAACCCATGATGGTATTCAGGTAATTCCACAGCTGCTCGATCATAAAATGCACTTCACATTATTCAATTAAATTGCTTTTAACACCTTATTTTTCTACATTTGTCTAAATGATGAACTTGACATCGTTCTTGAGGTTGCCGTGGTTGTTGTTGTTGACAACACTGAAGCGGTTGGGGAGGACCCTCATCTTCATGGTTCCGTCGGCGCCACAGGAGAAGATGTGATTGGTCGGCCCGACCTCGATCTGCATGACACCCGTGCCAAGGTTCCTGAACAGCGACTGGCGAGCGTGTTCGTTTGGAAAGGTGTAGAGTGGACACTGTGTGGTCAGGCTCCAAACCTGGGGAGGAAAGAAAGGGACCATTTTTAAACTGAAGAGTTAACAGAGATTCTCTTAAACAGAACAGAGCATTGAAGAATGAGTCTGGTAATATTCTGCATTCTTCTTATTGTCAGCCAAAAAGACCAACAATGAATTGTTTGCATAGCCAAAGCCTGATAGAGCTCATCGCTCAGTGATTACAATGAACGTGAGCACTGCAATTTATGAGTTATACCATTGATTTTGATTGGCTGGAAGCTGTGGATTATTGTTTAGACAACAGTGAGGCTTTGCACAGGGTTAACCAACCAATGTAAATAACTTTATATTTGTGTGAATCTGTCTGTTCAACGGTAGGAGGAGGAAAGAGAGGATGTCAGAAATTCATGTTAGCTGCGGTAAAGCGGTGGCTCTGGCGGGGGAAGGAGAGGACCGGAGAGGAAATGTGACCAAAGCTGAACAGAAAGTAGAGAGATGAGGTGCAGTCATGGGTAAGAGTGAGAGAGGAAAAGAGAGACGTCAATAGAGAGCTATCAGAGGGAGAGGGAGAGAGGGAGGGAGGGAGAGAGAGAGAGAGAGAGAGAGAGAGAGAGAGAGAGAGAGAGAGAGAGAGATAGAGAGAGAGACAGAAAAGATGAACCACTGTTTTCTATTCTTGTGAGTTGAGTGTGTTCAAGCAATCAGTAAAATTTCTCTTCTTCTCTCCAGACTTGTGAGCGCTTCCTGTTAAGCTAGATGTTGCCAAGCAACGTAAACAGCAAGAACTCCAGGAACCAGCTATATGGTAAATGGACCTGTACTTGTATAGCGCCTTTCTAGTCTTCCGACCACTCAAAGCCACATTCACCCTTTCACACACATTCACCCAAAGATGGCAAAGCCCATCGAACAGAATCTAACTCATTCATACACATTCACACACCGATGTGTGTTCAGTATCTTGCTCAAGGATAGGGAAGGACTTCGACATGTGGCACCAGGAGCCGGGGATCGAACCAACAACCTTCCGATTAGGGGACGACCTGCTCTGCCTCTGTGCCACATCACGATGTTAAAAACAAGTTAATTAACAACTGATATCTATTTTACTTAATTACATACAACATTTTGTTGGCAAGTGGCCATTATATAATCAGGATATGTTCCAGATTCTGATTCTATAGCGGCATCACAAGCTCTGGAATGAACACACACACACACACACATACACACACACACAAAAAAAAAAAAAAGACATCTTCAGTCTGAACCAACGAGGGTCCACCGAGATACACGCTGCACTCTGGGCAACTTTACATTATTTGATTGGTATTCCCAGCCTGGGATCTTTATTATTTGATTTGACTATTTCACACACTGAAGTTTGTACATATTAGTTAATCTTCCTGTTCCATTAACTCACATCAAACACTTATATATAAGCTTATATATCTGCAGCACCCATGTTAAATTTTCAATCAGCCAATATACGTTTAATTACTTCAGATGAGTAACATCACACACAGCTTTGGAGGTTTTTGTGAGAAATCATCCAGAATGGAAGTCATTTGAATTTCAAGCAGATGTGCACTGCACCATTTCTCGTACGTCTGTGTGACACAGAGGCTTCATCCTCGGAGTGACAGCTGTGTGATCTGCGCCAACATATTCAAGTCAAAAAGATGAAAGACCTGCTGTCTCTGGAAATATATTAGCTGAATACGGTCACATCTCCTGCCTGTTCAGTCAGAACACCTTCCTTTGCCTTCTCATGTGTCACTTTAGGATAAATGAAACAGTCATCCGATTGTTGATGTGGAGGAGAGACATTCACACCTGGGAGCCAAACGCCCTGCAGGACTGTTGTGTCAGCTACAGGTTAACTATGTGCAGAGGAAACAAAACTGTTTTCGTAATCCAAGTTTTTTAGAATTACTGCTCCCAGTGAAGCTCTCATATAAAATTAATGATTTCTCAAAAAAAAGAAGAAGAAAAGTCACAAAACCTCTATGAATTTTTATCCTTTTTGGGAGATTCTCTAACAGTGCAAACTGACCTTGAAAGCCGTCAACAAATGCTAATAAATATTTATATATTCCCCTGTCTGTAATATAACTCTCAACATTTCATATGTATTCAACAGACATTTATTTAAATCGCATTAATAACTTTGAGATGCTAAATTATGAAAGTTAAGAATACCTTGATGTTGCCCTCAGATGATCCACTGATAAAGCAGTCCTCAGTTGGATCGACAGCCAGTGCTTTGACCGGCGAGTCGTGGGCCTGGAAGCTCTGGCGTTGGTGCCTGTGGGAAAGCTCCAGGACACTGATCCAGCCCTTCCTCCCGCCTGTGATAAGCAGCTGCTGCCTGGGGGCCATCGCGAGCACGGTAGCACCGGACTCATGGCAGCAAAAAGCTGAGGAGAGAGACAAAGCAGAAAGATGGGATATCAAGGAGAATAAGAAGGAACTGAGAGAAGCATTCAGAACAGAAATAAAACAGTTGGAGGTATTGTGGAAAAAATATATAATATTGAGGGAAGGAGTCAACTACCTTTACGATCAAAAGAACAAAAGAATCTGTCTGGAGCCGCAAGTATATTTGAGCCTTACAATGCTAATTTCTCAACGCAGATCAAGCAAACGAATCCATCCACGTATTATTAAATTCTACATTTTCCTCTGAGATTTTCTTTAACCATAGCTAGCCTAGCTAGGGAAACTCAAGACTACCAGCTACCGCTAATGAGGTCAGGATGTAATGCAAAATTTAATTTGGTATGTAATGGCTAAAGATTAACTGCAGAATGTAAGAATCACTTTAGACTTTAGGCCTACAAAAATGACAAATTAAAATGTAGAAAAAAGAACCATTATTGATTTCCATAATATTTTTTGTCAAAGCCACAAGGAGCTACTGGAAAGGGGCTAAAGAGCCACATGAGGCTCCGGAGCTGCAGGTTGCCTACCTCTGAGGGCCTAAATCTACAATTATTAATTAATTACTTTTCTCAAATCATCAGAGGCTGGAAGCCAAGGTCTTTGCTTTAAAAATAACAAACAATTATGAAAATTGTTTCTGATTGCTCAGCTGATTTCTCAAGGAGGCTGTTACAAAATAAAAACAGATGCTCTTCTTTGCTGCATCTTACCATGAACAAGACTGTTTGCAGGAGTCACCAGAGTGTCCCACAGACACACGTTCCTGTGGAGTCAAAAATGACCAAATTACTATCTATTAATCAAAGGACATGTCATTATCCCTGCTGGCCACAGTACAGTGGCTTTTAATTAGAAGTCCATGGAACAATTCATTAAATTCTCCTTCCAAGTCTCTCATACCTGTTGTCTGTCGAAAGACCCGCAGTGGCAATGAGGGAGGAGGAACCCACAAAAACAAAGTCGTGAGCGGTCTTGTTGTGGCAGTGCAAAGTCTGCCAGAGAGAAACAAAGGAGACGTTTATTAATAGTGACAGTAATAGAGAAGCAGGAGAAGAATAAACAGATATGAGAATGACAGGAAGAAAGCAGGAGGACACAATACTAAAAACAAACATGTTGGGGAGGGGGAAGGTAGCTCTGTGAGTTTCTTACCAGGTATGGTTTGGGTGCATTCCCGCTTGTGTTGGTCTGCCAGAGACTCAAACCTCCATCAGCGTCTACAATACCGAACTACACAAAACATTCAGAGAGCAGATATTAATCAGAAATTAATTTAGAGCTATCTTTTATTTTACATCAGACAGACATAAATATACTGTCAGCCCTTCCTGTGTTTGCACCCCCATTGGGAACCTACTTCCTTCAGGTGATTTGGACTGTGCTCAAATTATCTTCCAAAACACATCAACAGCCTCATAAGTCCAAGCACCACTTGCATAACTAAAATCAAGTGCCCTGCATGTCCTCCCGTTCCCATTTTTTAAAGCATATTTCACTCTTTTGGTCAGTACTGGCAGATGAGATAGCACTGGCACAGGAGAGACACCATCTGAGAAAATGATTAGCTTGAGGCGAGTGCCTGAGTTCAGAGCGGTTGAATCACTCCGCTGAAGAACAATGTGTGCTGAAGCCAAATTCCCCACTGTGGTTCGAGCCTGAACGGCAAAGTTGTGAGAGGAAGTGTGAAAATGTGGCTGAATCTGACAGGCTCACATTATAATGCAACTGTGCTGCAAGGCAAAGAAAGGTCTGGCATCTGTATGGTGGTAGTTAACTGTCCAACGTGTTCTGCCCATACAGTACGAGTGTGGCTTTGTTACCTTGTTTCCCTGGTGGTTGAACCGTATCCTGGTTACTCTGGAGTTGCCTGGACTTCTGAAGCAGATGATCTGCTGGGAGTGACCCCACTCGAACATCCTCACGCTACCGTCCTGAGCTCCTGTCAGGTCTAAAAAACAGAAATAAACAAAATATGACATCAGTTCAGCTCATTTTTCAGTGCATTCTGGTCCCAACAAAAGGTTTTGGCATTTCTTTGTTCCCAAAATTATCTGCTATAATTGATGAAGGAAATATTTAGCACACGCACACACGCACACACACACACGCACACGCACACTGGGACCAGAAGAAATAAAACAACTTTGTCACTTACTAAATAGAGTTTCTATACAAGAGAAACTTTATGGGTGATGTAATCAGCCCCTGAAGGCTCTTCTTAACATGAGAAATATGATGTCTGAATAGCACCTTTATGAGGCAGATTCTCGTCTAATCTACGCAAGATATCAGAGTCGTACTTACAGTAAGGCAGTGTGGGATGGGAGGTCATTCTTCTCACATTGTTGATATTTCTCTTGATCATCTGGGAGAAGGAAAGTGAGGAGGAGGAGGGTTTTTAGTAAGCCAACATTAGTAGAAAACAATGCAAAACTTCATTATGTTAAAAGTGTAATTCTTTACACAGGGACAAGTAACTGCTGTCTACTAGCCCAAAGTTAAACAATATTACAATATTCTATAGCCATTTTCCCCACAGAGAATACATCCATTGCTGGCGTCCTTTATCTGTGAAGGTTTTTTTTTTCCCCACAATCCGTGATGAAACTGGTCACAGCACTGACAAAGATCAAGGACGTCATTCACATCCTACGTCAGAGACCATCCTTGAACAAAGACTGGTGTATAGTCTTTGTTAACAAGTGATAATAACTAACGGATATGCTTATACAAGATGTGTGTTTTATGTTTCTGTGCCTTTTTAACCTTAACGTTAATGTGACTTCATTAGAATCAGCCTTAAGCCTCACAAATGTTACTTGGTCTGATCTAGTAAGATTGTCATTAATGTAAAAATGAACAGGGCCATAATATTTATACAATAAGGTGCACGTCTGTAGTCATCTTATAGCATACATTGTCTTAATATACTGTAGCTCAGTTAGTATTTTCTGTCCTGTATTATGACTGGTGGCCCAGCGAGGTTGACATTAACAACGTCTGCCAAGCATTTTATTTATTATTGTCTCTAAATGTATTCTGCTCCAACCTTGAGTACACTGCCTGACTGGTTGGTAAAATAATTACCATGCAGAGTGGCTCTTACTGTCCAGTCTGCATATCAAGAGCAATGAGTGAGCTGGTTAATATCAACAAACATGACTCACAACTATTCGATTCAAAAACACTGCTACCACCAGAATTGAATCACTCTTCCCTCCTAACTGCGAACGCCAAGTTTCTCTGCTCAGTAAAACAGCTTTCAGACTTTTCCATTTTAAAAAAGGCATAGAAAGGGGTTGGGCCTGGTGTCTCATGAGCTGTAGGAGTCAGCAACATCTTTGTTCCTTTGTAAGTCAATGAGGGAAGCTCATGTTAGCAGCCATGATGCTTTTGGCAAACTAAACCCCAGACAAAGATGAATTATTAATTGAAGTCATTTAAACTGCTTTGAGGATTTAGCTTTGAGTACAAAGAAGGGCAGATCAGACAATATCAATTAATTCCAGAAAAGCAGTGAGGAGTGCATCAAACCCACGAGTAGCGTCACTGTACTGTGTGTGGAAGCTTGAGGGACCATACTGCTGGGTTTTTATTTTAGGTTTAGTTGAACAAAAAACTGAGTTTACTTGATATTGCAGCTGAACATTATTGTCCAAAGATTAATTTTCAAACTTAAAGACTTAAATTAATTTCAGTATTAATTAATATGCCGATCATTTTTTTCATTTTTTCATCAAATCGTTGTTTGACCTATAACATGTCAGAACATAGTGAAAGATGTTTTTCAGGCCAACAGTCCATATACAAAGAATTTAGCTTACTATCATATAAGACATAAAAGGCATCTAATGTTCAGATTTGGGAAGCTGGAACTAGGGAATATTTGGCCTTTTTGCTTGAAAATATGTCTTTGATCACCTACATGCTGCTTATCACCCCTATCCTACTGGCCCATGTCAATATGTTGTATAGACCGTATTAGTATGTTCTCACACACCCACACCCACACCCACACCCACACACAATTTAGCTCTAAGGGTACAAAGTAGTACGCCGACTATGTAAGGTACTGGCAATTTGCAGTTAATGGTCGAAAACACAAAAAACAGCTCGAGTGGTCTTTTAATCAAAGACTGAGATCAGAAACAAAATTTGGAGGAGAACAGAGGAAAACAAATAGCTCGGGTAATACAATCACATACAAATTCGGGTCTTGAGCTCACCACAGATGCGCCCCGGCCCGTCTGCACTCCTCCCAGCCACGGCATGTTGATGGGTGTGCCGGGGCTACTGTGAGTATACGGCGTGGTGCCGTGGAGGGCGGCGAAGTCATCACGTGCATGGACCACCAGGAAGTCATCACCACCAACACTACACAGACAGAATAATAATTAATTAAGGGTATAAGTATTTTCATGATAGGAACATGTTAAAGGAACATGTTATGTTAGATTATGTTTTTAATGTTAAAGGGATATATTTAGCAGGAAACACTTGATCAAGATTTTGGCAAATTTGGTCGGATCAATAATCCTTAGCAGACATTTCAGCCAAAATGATGCTTGTTCATTAGAAAACAGTTTTAAGTTAGCACAGTGTGCATTTACAGAGAAGCTATAACAGAGTAGGGTATGCAGGTCAACTCATACTGACAGAAACCCTCTTCTACTAGTATCTCATAAGGTAGCAGTCACACACAAACACATAGATTATGCTGCACATCCAAACATGGACACCACCTACACAATCATTACTGAACCAATCACATTGTCCCCCGCCCACACTCTATTTAGCTTTATTGGTATGAGGGTGAAAAGGTGACTTGATGTTACTCTGGATGAACTCTCACAGCTGTCGGCCTCAACACGCACAGTAGGCACACGCAGACACACAAACACACAAAGATTAATCTCTTACCCTTTGGTTTCAGCCTCATCGTCATCAATCCATGTCAAGATCTGTGTGGCCAAGATGGATGACACATCCAACTCCTGAATGTCATGAGTTGAGGCCATGACTAAACAATTACGATTTGCCTAGGAGAGAGACAGAAACAGGAGGTGGGGATAGGTTGAGGTGGGTGACAGAGATGATAAGGGTAAAAAAATAGGGCAAGGCTTAATGTATGTGCAAAATTTTAAGAAGTTGGAAGCTCCATAAGAGTGAGACAAAGACTTTTACCAACTCTAGATTTTGTCACTTTGCTTTAATGATGACCTGAGGTGCACCTTCCTTTGATTGTTGTTGGGAAGAAACCAGCACCATTGCTTTCCTTTGAATAAACAGCTATATTCAAGCAAGAGTATCACAGTGTGAACCTCTTCGTATTTCAAACAAAGAAAACACAGCCTCAACAACATCAAAGGGGCTATGATATGGCGTAAGAGTTGTGCCACTGGCCAGAACAATTTGATATTTCTTTTGAATTTGAATTGTGTGCTCTGACTTTGAAGGTGCATTGGTCAAAGTGAAGCTATGCCTTGAAATTCAGTTTTTTTTAATTTTTTTTTTTAAATTGTGTTTGAATCATCCACAGTTTAAAACTTCAAATTCAGAATACATATTTTCATTGTATTTGGCAAGTCAAACATCTGTTACACCATACAGGAAAGCATTGTTACCATGCACAGCTGGGCTGCACGAACTTAACCTTGGGCACGCACAACACTGACATATTTTCACCTTAATTGGTAAACATGTTGACAAACAGTTCGCGTATTTACAGGTCAAGCAGGCACGGAGAAACCTTACCATTTATTTTTTTGTTTCTGGCCACGTATTACTCCAATATACACTGTCCCTAACCCTAAGTTTTAGTCTCCACCACCTCCTGTGGGAAATATCTGACTCTCTAGCTGCTTAAAGCTCCACTATGTCCGAAAGCTATTTGCTAACTTTGTCTGTCTGCTGTTTGGTGCAGGGCAGTTGGGGTACAGTGAGTTTATCAAAGTTGTTTTACTAAAAAGCTGGAGCTGGAAAAAACAGCTGATGAGACCAGTAAGGCTGAATCAAATGATTTAAGTGTGTGTGTGTTATAACTGACAGACATTCGACCTACTATTCATCCTAAAATATTGATGAGAGCAGCTTTAAAAAGGTTCTCAAAGAAAATGAAAGCGAAAGTCTTTCACAGTAAATGGTTAATATATGGCACCTAAAAAGTAATTTATTAGGCGTAAACAGTTTATTCAATGCAGTTTTCCAATAGATACAAGTATGGTTTGAATATATCTTTGCACTGAAAAATGTGTGTATATGTACCCACATTACTGCCTCCATAGTGCTGATTAATTATGATATTACTAAACAAATATACATTATACTGGATGGGGACATTCTGAGGTTTAAATAAAAAGACTGGTATTGACCAGATAGAGTGACAAACCAATGGAAATACAGCATGCTTTTTTTAATAGTATGTGTTGTTCAGTGACATCTGTGTAAAAGAGTTGTACCTTGTTGATGGCAAAGGCTGTGATGATGTCCGATTCCTTGTGGATGATGCGTGCCTTTCCGCCGGGAGAGCCCTGATCTGACTCAGTCTGCACAGAGTAACACACACACACACACACACACAGACACACAGACACACACACACACACACACACACAAAGGAGATTCAATCATTACAGCTGAAACGTTGGTAAACATTTCCCACAGACAAATAACAGCCATATCAGATACATTTCCCTTCACGCAACTACACAATATGTGCACTCTATGTTTATGTGCTTGTTTGTCTTGCCTTTCAGGGTTAGGAGAGGACATGAGAGATGCATCAGACCAGTTAACCACAGCCACACTCAGAACTGGGTTAGTGCCATTAGACAGTATGAGCAACCCTTGAGCAATGAGCACAAGCACACGCTGTACCATAGAGGTCCTATGGGATGTATGCAGAGCTGGCTATACTGTGGCTCTGCATATTGTATAGAGATGTTACATTTTGATGTCAAACTTGCTCAAAATGAGACAGGCATCCTTTGAGCATGAGATCGAATTAAAGTCTTTTCTGCATTTATTCAAGGGGAAAAGACCATGTCTTTCTCTGTCAGACGGAATAAAGTAAAACTTGACTTGCAGAAATCTAAATATGGTGGTTTGCCATTTTCGCGGAGCACATAATCCCTGTGGGACGCAGATTCACTGCGACAGTGTTGGGCCCATTAATCAGAAGCTATTCAGCTTCATAGCTTGTCCTCTGAGAGACTGGGTTAATTAACACTGAGCCAAATGGAGTAGCTACAACGTGGCAGCTTGCACAGTGAGAGCCAGAAGATTAGAAAACCTCTATGAAGCATCAGTGTACAGTGCAATTTAAGATTTATGGCTCATATTCACATGAATATTTAGACAGCTAAATGTAAGATTAATATCAAACACTGACGGGAACATACAGACTTCACGGACCAGAAAATACACGTATTGTACTTGTGCAAGATCACATTTTAAATGTTTCTTTGATTATATGTGACAGGCCACATTTATTATTCTACTGTAGGAGGCAAATGCATGTTCCCATATCTAATCAACGGTAGAGTCTGTACCACCCACACAACAGTACGGTGATGTGAAGTATGTGTCATAAGGTTTCACAACATCTATACAAAGTAAAATGTTATTTATTAATTGGCCTTGACTTAAGTATTGTTGTTAATAATTAAAAACACACACATGCAACAAAAACTCTCAGATAAAACAATGCCATTTTCTGCTGCAGGCTGATTCTTAGAAACTTAGATTTATAATTCAGAGTTTAGTTACCAGAGAGCATGAACAATCGTATACAAATCTGAATTACAGTTTTAGTTTCTACAACTGATCAAACTGGATTTTGGTGTGATACTGACCCACTGATCTGTCATATACTGTAAAGAACTCTGGTGAACTGTGTGACCAATCATGCAGTTTTAAAATCACACCGATTTCACTTTTGTTACTATATTATTTTCTATACTATAGTATTTTCTATACTATAGTATTTTCTGCAATCTGCATGTCACAGTCATGAAGCCCTCCAGACATGCTTTAATGACATACTACAAAAACAAGAAAATGACATGGTTTAAAATTAAATTCTCAGGATTATAATCGCCCAGGCCCTACCACAAGAATGTCAGTCCCACCCCTAGGGCTGGGCATTGTTTGAGTTCAGATATCAGTGCCAATACCTTACTTTACTAAATATAATACTTCCAAAAACAAGAATTCTTCATAATATATAAAATTTGAAAAATATTTTGAAATTAGGCAATATCTAATCTTATTAAAGAGTTAATTCAGTAATTTGGGTTCTTTTCAGTACTTGGTCCTATGGACACAATTTAGTCAGTACTGACATTTGGACTCCAGCCCATTCCCCAATAACATGAGTCAAAATGTATCTGAAGCAGCAGTACCTGATGGTTTCCTGTCTCCTCCATTCCTGAATATTTCATATTGTCAGTCTGGTCCTCACCCGACTTTAATGATTGGGGAAGCGGCACAGGGTAGTCACACGCGCACAAAACACACGCAACACACAAAACAACCAGTGATGAACCATGCAGTCAAACACACACAGAAACTGAATTATTGTGCTGTTAATCAAACAGGGAGTAATTATTTAAATAAAATTACAGCATCAACATGCAACTGGGGGCAGTAATAATCAAGTGGTTGGCATGCGGAACAAGCACAAGCGTGCCAACAGGGATGTAAAAGCAATAATGATGCAGTTTCCCTGGGGGTAAATACCAAGAGATGTTTTATATGTAGATTGATGTATGATGTAGATTTTATCATAACAAAATAGTTAATGTGTTATTCAGTGACAATTAATACAATGCGCTAGCTGTGCAACATAGAGACAGCTCATGCAGTAGGTTGATAGTTGTAAACTAACTGTTAAACTGTGTACCTCATTCGGGTCCCGTTTCTTGGTAAAGATGTGTCTGATGAAAGTCTCCTGCACTTCTTCCTGCTTGACCAGAAACTGCCACAGTCGCTTCACTGGCAGCGCTGATGGGTGGTTAGTCCTGAAAAGAAAAGAACACCTCCTGCATATTAACACTAATGCTCATTAAATCACTTGTATCTGTTCACTGAAGCACAATAAAATGTGTTAGAAAATATTATTTCTGATTTGGGTCGTTGGTGCTGTTCTGAAAACTCCACACATCTGGAGCTTAAGGCAAAACACATCAAATGTACATACAGTAACTGCTGTTCCCCAGAAGAGCAGTAAATCCCTTCAGTACGTACTGTACAAGCCATGCGGAAACCTACAGGGGTCACATCAGCTGGAGGGTATAACTTCTTGAGGAACGATTTCTAAATACATTTTACTGGTATGGATGCGTAGTACACATATAGCTGATGCTGAAGGCAAACTAATCAACTGAACAGCATCATGTTCTAAGTAATTCAAGAAGTTTAAAAGCTGAGGGGTGTACCTTGAAACACTAGTATAAAGGATAAGTCAATTGCTTCGTATACTCACAAACCATCTTGTTTAAGGCTTTGAGTGAATTCAAACATGTAAATCAACAAACACACTAAGACTGACAGATCTCAAATTCAATCTAAATAAAAAATATTATTTAAAACTTAGCCTATAATTTTTTTAATTCGAGTTAACCAGCTCGTGGGGTTACCTGAACGGGGTGTTGGACGGTTCATACAGGGCCTTGTGTCTGAGCAGGGCAGGACCAGGTGTGGCTGTTTCATCCTGGAGGTGGGTGGAGATGTACTTGGAAGGGGGGCCCCCGAAGATTTCCAGCCTTTTCTGCAGCACCTGCTCCCAGCGCTGCAGCGTCTTCAGCACAGCGTGACACAGAGGAGAGCCCACAGGCAGATCTGCGTTAAATAGAAGCATGCACAAACAAGCAGGCAGTAAGATTAGCAGAGACATGCAGTGAGAAATGGGGCAGCACTTATCTACTTCCTGGATGTTCGTACATCAGAGGGTGTGTGTGGTGTATTTTTGTGTTTACCTAATAGATCATATCCTGCCATTGGGTAAAAGGACTTGAGGTTAACCAACACCAGTTGGACCATTGCCAGACGCATCAAACACCAACTGGGAGGAGAAGAAGCCATCAGAAATCAGATTACAGTTCTGAACATAAATGCTCTAAGTGGTTACAAAGTTGCCTTCGGAGGAACTGGGGCTATATAAGTAAAACAAACAAAGTCAACAGAAAGACAACAGAAAGACACAAACAGCTGTTAACACATGCAGGTTTACTTTAGGCAGCTTGAACTGAAGGGAAGAGTCATTCTTTGCAGTGATATCCATTCAGCGCTGTGTTGTTACCTGTATGAATTGTGATTTGAATGCTCTCTTTGCGGTGAGTTGGGGTCAAACAAATCTTCATATTCATCATCATCTTCTTCTTCGTCGTCTTGACTGCCCTGGCTCTCCTCCGAGTCATATTCAATTCTGCTTTCTGAAGGTGGCAGTGAAGGCTAAAAGACACAAACACAATAACAACAATAAATAGGACAGAAACACACACAAAGAAAAAATAAATATACTTCATTTTTTCCCCCTTTCATTTGCTGTCTGTCACCTTTAGCACGTTTATTATTATAGCAGATAAACATAGTTAGATTATTAAATTCCCAGCATAACATATTAACAATAACAGAGTAACAATATGTTATAAATATAATTATGCTGTTACACATAAATGCTGCATATGTAACATCACAATGAAAAGTCAATACACTCAAGGTAGACTAATAAATGAGAGAAAAGATATGATTTAACAGATTTTTGGGAGGTAGTTATTGATATTGTGGATTACCTTGGCAATAAAGTAATCCCAAATGCTGAGGTCTGGGGGGACAAATCGTTCTTTAAAGATGGAGGTAGCTTCTTGTTCAAACGAAGGGCCATGCTTGAGACTGGAAGGGCCCTCCCGCTCTATCCCGGATTCCTCTCTGGATCCATTGCGCGATGACAGAAGCCTGAATCGTCTCGTCTTCCTCTCTGAGCCGCTTGGTGAGGCTGGGGGGTGTCGAAAGAAAGTGTCTTAAATTTCTGCAACTTTGGTTTCAGCTGCTGTTACAACCATACCCACTCGTGAATTTTCAAAGCTTTAAATATAGAAATATCTTCCTAAAAACAGTCATTCAATATGCCTACAGTTTGTTTAATAAACAGGAGTTACAGTTGCATTACATCAGGTTTCTTCTGCCAACCACGAGAGAGTAGCACAGACAGGGTGTGAGGGAAACAGCTCCCACACTAATAGGTTGATGGATTTCACTTTGACCTAGAGACGGGAACCCAATTAATTTAGCAGGACTGATTTGATTTAGCTACTGGGTCACCTCCAAAAGAAAAACCCCACACGGAGAGACGGCCACTCAGGAAGACTGGCCAAACTAATCCCTACTAACCTGGTGGGGGTGTTCTTGATGGGCTGTTGGGTTTCTCTATGACAGGGATCCGGGCGCCTCCTCCAAACACCGTCACCCAAAGCTTGCTGTTGAGGGGGTGGGCCATGATGCGAAACAGCTCGTTGCTGGAGTGAGTGGCCATGCCGTGAACAAACAGACTGAGGAAGACAGCAGTCAGGATCTCACAGAGCAGCACAGCTAAACCTGGCTGGCTCTCCTCACCTGCTGAGTTCAACAGGCGAATCAGAGAAGTGATGCCTGGAGAGAGGGATGAGAAGAAAGGTTAGCAGGGAAAGGACAGAAGAGAGACAAAGAACACATTGTAAGACTTACTGATGAATGCACTGAAAAGGTTTAATTAAAGCAAAAGCCTGAAAGATGGATAATGTGCAATACAACCCCAGTTGTAGGACAAGAATTAGCAAACAAAAGAAAAGGAGAGGTTGTCTACATACAGACATTTACAATCTCCCAAATGTTTTTATTGGTGCAACATTTTGACCTAAAAAAAAAGGTCTTTGACAAAAAACAAAGTATTTTTTTCAGTTTTTTCTCACTTTGTACAGACAACCCTTGCCTCAATAGGAAAAGACTGACAATTCTTGTGTTTTCTTATTGTGAAAAAAACTTATTAAAAGACCAAAACCAACAGTGAATTGATTCTACTAACAAGTATTGTCTGTGTTGTCAAATCCTGATAGGACTTCTTCTGTGCCGAACACCTCCATTGATGTCCAAAAACGATTAAAAACACATCAAAGAGCCATTGTTGCACTGGGTGACATGTTCCTTCATTATAATGAACATGGACACTGTAGTTCATTTTGACTCAATCCCAGATACACCATCCTGCTGCTGCAAAAACTCACTAGAGCACCAAATATGTGTTAATCCAGAGCTGAATATTGTCCCCAGCAAATGCACTGTTTGTTTTGTCAAAATCTACAATTCCTAGCTTTCTAAGGAAGTTACAGAGCCTTTAAAAAAATGCAACTTCACATTTATGATCTGTATCAAACAACTTATATCCTCAGTAGGAATTGACCTAGAACATTTAACTTGGAGCTGAACGACACAGACAAAGCAGGGAGGTTGGTAAGTAATGAGAGACTGACAAACACATTGTTGGTTTGGGTATTTTACTTGTCAATAATACAATAACATTTAAGAATTTAACAAATGCTTTGTTTCATTTAATTCAGGGAGAAAGTGTGTCTGGTTTGGCTGATTTACCTGGCCATTGTCCAGGGGAAGTGTTGGGCTGAACAGACTCATCCATGCTGACGGTTCTGACTGGCTGCTTCTGAGACAGCAACACACTCTGATACACGATTCCTGTGAAATGGTTCACATGGCTGTGGGAGATTCAACAGACGAAAGAAAGCAACCGCACACAGTCAGTACGAGGGCACAAAACAAAACATTTATATTAAACATAAAATGCTGGACTGAAAATTGAATTTTTAAAAAATGGGTTATGTGGTGTAAATATATGTCTAAATGTTTTACTTTAAATGTTCTAACTTTGTTCTGAAATCTGGGATGATCTTTTTAAGTTAGCTGCAATGCTGTCAAGCTTTGTTCTGTCAAGACATGAAATACTAATGGGCTGCATCGCAGGTTACCCTATCTATGCTGTTTGGTAATGGAGAAGAAATGAGAAGAAAGAGAAACGTCAATGCTCAAGTTTTCACGTCAAGTGGCTTTTCAAAACATGCACACAAAAAATCTTGGATGGTTGCAGAGGAAATTTTTACAGAGAATATGAAACCCACAAAGGAGTCTATTACGTTTCTAACATCCAATAAGTCCCTTTAAGCTTCTGTGAAAAACCAATTGCCTCCACATCAAAAAGAATTCAAAAGTCAAAGTGAACACCATTCAGAAGGAGGAGCAGTAGTCACTGTAGTCTTAATGTACTTCACACAATAAATTAACTCTAACACAACTCTTATGCTTTCAGGCTACATATGGATTTACCTGTTGACAGTCAACTAAATTAAACTGAAGTTCATATGATAACAGAGAGAGGAAAAAGCAGAATGTGCATCAAAATACTGTCAACTTGGCAGCAACACAAAACTCCCGCAACCTACATCCTGAAATGCCTTTTTAAAAATTCACACACTCTTACGCTCGCTCTCTCGCTCACACATTCAAAAGGGAAAAACAGAAGCGCAATTTCATCAAACGTCTGCAGCGTCACACCAGGAGAGTTTAGATCATAATTACCATAACAAAGACGGTGTTAAATTAGAAATAGCTTTGCTAATTTAGTTAGACTGTTCAGCTAACAAACAGTGTGGCGTAGATTGCTGTGATGTGAAGATAGAAAACAAAGTTCTCATTTAATCATATCACTTAAGAGTTGTGTGAGGTTTGAAATACCAAGGTCAGAGAGTTTGCTCTGAAAGAATAATTAATTTTTTTCTCTATTAGCTTAGAAAAAAACCCCAAAAACTCTATTTTTGACATATTATTTATCTGATACAAGCAATTCTATCTCTGGGGTCTCAGCACTGTGGCTTTAAAGGTCCCAGTCTGGTCAAGCACAAGTAAAAAACTATTCTGTACAACATCAAGCATCAAACAAGCAATCTGGCAGAACCATGACAGGAACTCACACAGCAGCACAGCTGTAAGCCAAATGGGTTATTAAAAAAGAAAAGAAAAAAATCTCTCTCTCTCTCTCTCTCTCTCTCTCTCTCTCTCTCTCTCTCACACAGTCAAAGTTTAAATCCTACTGGGTTGTTGTCAAAGTGATCGGGAGTTATGGTACATACTCGTCTTAAATAAACAATGTTCCTCCCATCTGTCAAAATCAAAAATCTAATTAAGTATTTACAATAAGAATGACAAACAGCAGCCTTCATAAATCATTCTCAACACAATCAAAACAGACAAGTGACTGTCATATTTTTGGTTAGCAAACTTCAAACATATTTTTCTTTTCCCAGGTCTTAAATCACACTACTATAGTGCTTTGTAAAACCAGCCTAAAGCATGTGCTAAGATGATCCTAAGACATGTTGAAAAGCATTTTCCACTTTGGTATTACATTTGTAGTGTTTGACTTTAGATGTGTATGTGCATTACCCTCTCATCATAAAGTATGCTTGGTTACCAGCAGTCATGTCCCTTCCCCCTTATCTCTTATCATTCTGCTCCAATAAGTCTAAAACCCTCTAACACACACACTCACACACACACACAAATGAAACCAGAGGACACAAATTAGTATTATATTTGCCAGCATTTTGTCTTTGAAATGCTAAAGCTAAGAAAAGGAAAACAAAGTCAGATCACTCTTGATAGATAAATAATCTAGTGGTGGCTAGTGCTGTTAATGGAGTCGTGTCAATGTGAGTGTGGTGGAAAATGAAGAACTTGTATCAAAGTTAAGCATCGCTTGAAGTCACATAAAGAATTCAAGACGCTTGCTTGGAGAGATACTGCACTGTAGACACCCACTGTAAACTCAAACCTTTTTAAGTCAGGTTGCATAAAAGCATTTTTTTGAAACACTGTGCTGGGATCTGCAAAGATTTATTTCCCCCAGATCCACAAATTATTGTTAAAGGGATAGTTCAGTTTTTTTTTTTAAGTGGGGTTGTACCAGTATGGAAGCTAAGCAATGCATTGCTGTGGATGGTATGTGTTCGCTATATTTAGAATATTTTCACTCTTTACCTTGCTATCAGACATTCCTTTCCGATGGGAAAGTGAAGCCATTATATTGTTCTCTCCAAAGCCACCAGGCTCCTTTGACATTTCAGTTTCCAGCGAGGTGAAAATACTCTAAATATAGCATAAACTAAAACAAATACTGATTTTTTTTTAGGTGGCTAAAAAAAGTTTTTCTGCTGACCCCAACCACAGCAGTAGATTGTCAAGCTTCTTTGCTGGGACTCCTGTCTGTTTCTCCAAACTGGGTGCTGTCTACTACGGGTACAGTATGAAAACAGGTCTGTGCTTTATTAAAGTACAGTATGAAGCTGCTGATTATGTTGCTTTGTAGAACAGTCTGACAGCTTTGAGGGTTAATAGGGTTATTGTTAACAGGTGAGGCAGGTGAGACACATACCTGTGGGTGTGTCCATCACACAGACACTGATATATACAGGCTGACAAGGAGGCAGCCAATGTGTGCATCACATAGATCTGAAATAAGGTAAGGGATAAAAAAACAACAAAGCATTAATTAGTGTTTCAGTCACAAATAAACACTTAGAACAAAATTAAACTTTGTGTCCAAGCAATCATTAAACACTGATGCACAGCTTTACAATTAATTCCAAAGTGAGTGGGGCAGTTTATAGTTGAAAGAAAATAATTGTTCAATAGTGTTCCTGTTTTGCAATTTCTTATTTTATTACTTTGTTACTGGCTGACATACATGGTAATACGGATATATCTGCAATAAACTAATATTATTCATTAGATCCGCTCGGATACAGACACTTCTATCCATTGAAATTTGTCTAAAAAATTTCTACAATACCAATGTGAAAAGTTTATACATGTTGGTGTACTTGTCATTGAACAAATTCCACAGGATCATCGTCCTCCTTCAGTAAAATCAAATGTATAGCCTTTACATCAAGAGGAAATTCCATTTATGCAACCAGCAATACTAGAAATAGAAATGGATCAACGAGACCAGAGACTGCCTTACCTCATTGTTAACTACATCGGGATGTGGAGGAGAGTCAAGTGTGTTGATGGTTTGCAAAATGTCATGAGCGAGGTTGGTCAGGTAGACGATGGGATTGGCCACTACTGTCTTTACGTTGGCGGTGCAAGCCATCAGAAGAGGGATAGAGGTTTGCTGACAGCATGGCGTCACCGCTAATTGGATGGAGTCATCCTGTTGGGAGAAAGCAGAGAGAAACATATTTAAATGTGGGTTGAGTCAGTACAGTATATCTGCAACTACACATCACACACCACAGTAACCTTAATATAATACCAGCAGATACATTCAACATTCAACTTTCTCATTTTTTTTTTTTTTTTTAGAGGAAAAAAAAGGGAGACAGCGCACAAAGGGAGCAGAGAATTGACAGGTGCTGCTTTGAACTGTGAAGCAAGAGCCTTTTCCTAAGCCGTAATAAGTCATACACGATCCCGCATGATGTGTTTTCTAGTGTACGTGTGAATGACGTTTAAAGAGCTATAAAGAAGAGATAGGCAGCCTAGTTGTGTGTGTGAGATCCCTGAACATGACTCCCCATGTGTAAGAATACCACAAGCTTATGTTCGTCACACTTGATGAATCACATTTTCTTGTTGTTCACCTCCTAAACAGAAGCTCTGCACACTGGCTGAAGTTAAGACAAAAGAAAATAAAATAAAAAATCCTCAAAAACAATGGAGAAATCTGACAACCATGGGACCAGAGCTGGGACAAAAGGAACTGCTTTTATTTCAAAATCAAAGTAGAAGAGAAGAAAGGACTCCCAGTGGCCATCGACTGTGCTAACATTCAGGAACGTTGTTCCCAAGGCGGCTCATTGAGTTGTTTACCTCCTAAAATTTGACTCAACCTTCTAATAGTCAGCCTAAAGCAAGACTTCCCTCAGGAGCTTGGAGAATCAGCACAGTCTGTCAGCCTACTGCTGGAGGTGTGTAGATCGCCAGTGCACAATAAGTAGGTCTGAGTGTGTGTGTGTGTGTGTGTGTGTGTGTGTGTGTGTGTGTGTGTGTGTGTGTGTGTGTGTGTGTGTGTGTGTGTGTCTTGGGAATCTGGCTGCATTAAGACAAGCTTTCAGATGGCGTCATGTTCGTCTTTCATTTGTACTTTGCCCCTCATCTGCTCAGTATCCTTCCCTTCAAAGAGAATGTGAGATCACTTAAATAATACTGCAGCTCTGCTTGCCAGTGTGAATGTTTTTACATGCAGCTGATGGTTATTATCTTGTTGTTCCTATTTAAGTAATTAGTAATAATTAATACAAATAATGTCATACATAGTTTGTGCTGTCAGGAACCTCTGACAGATAAAGTTTGGAAATGCTGGACCACCTTTAATAACCATTTGTTTGTGATGAAAATGTCCTGGTTGCAAATATGAAGCAATTAACTAAGGCTGATCAGACTAATATTTTCATGATCAATTATTCTTTTTCAATTAACTGTCATTACAACTTACAAGAAACATCCTTTTATGTTAAAGTTTTACTTTGACAAGTAACAAAAAAAGTACCATTTTCATAATAAGAAAAAACAAAGTCAAGCAATGCTCTTGTGAAGCTGTGAGTGGCAAATGTAACATTTTTAATTTAATTGAAATATATTACACTTTTCATTCTCTATGTGGTAATAGACACAAAATCAAAGCACTCTGAAATAAATTTGGAAGGATGTTTAGATTTATTTGATGGTTCTTCAATTGACAATTGCCAAATGAAGCTTATTGATTAAAAGGACTGTTTTATCACATCCACCAGCAACCTAAAAATCAGTTAGCACAGTTACTTAGTGGCAGCTACAGAGGCAGACTATAGATTGCCATGCTCTGGCTATCAGTGGCCTTAAGCGTGTATCTATGCATGTTTTAATTACCTGGTGGGACTCCTGAAGCAATAATATGAGCTCCATGCGTACAGATGCCAGTCCTCCACCATGGGAGCCATGCAAGCTGCAGTAGCTCAGAAACATCCTCAGTAAGGGCTGGTTACTCTGCAGCCAGTGTCTCCTGCTCCTCTGGCTGTCACCAAGAGGACTTCCGGGCTGGAAAACCATTTTTACTTTATTAGTTTTATAGACAAATCAATTAATGTGCTTGTAAATATGCCGACGTTATCCAGCTGGCTAGTGTTCAAACAAAAGCCCCACAGTGCTAAAAACAACTAGGTTTTAAAACAATGCACATTAATCTGTCAACAATAAAACTATAAACAATAAACAAAATAAACTACTGGGTCTATGAAAAGTAACTTTGATTTGTAAATACACAGTACGTGTATTAGGCTTAGATATATATGTATAATTAGGTTTGCTGCAGAATCTGAAACAACAGAGCAACATTTAGCATGTTATTTTTGTAACTCGACAACAAAAACATATCATATCATATCATATTCAAAGTAAAATTGTGCAACAATCTTTACAATAAAAATGTTTTTCAAACTATGTCAAGACACGCTGTGCTGTTGTCTTAATTTTTTATTACAGCTAGTGTTGCATCGATTTTGCCGCACAAACATCTGACAAATCTAGATGCAGCCAGCTATCTACGCCCACCTGTTCCTCCTCCACCAACCCAGAAACAGGGGCATCACCCTGGACAGACAGCTCTGGCAAGCAGGGCTTGTAGCTGCAGCAACGCTGGAGAGCCACCACCTGGGGAAAACAGAATTTTATCTTAGAATCAATTTATTAAGAAGGGATTTTATCTTGCATGTGTGGGAGTGAAAGGAAAACATTTCACCAAATTGTCAAATAGTCTTCACAGGAAAAGACAAACAATTTCATGAGAGAAAACCACTGGAGTTATTACCAATATGATGTTTATATGCTGTGACACAATGCACACAGAGAGATAAAATCTTGAAATAGTGAACGTGAAGACAGGAGAGATGTGTGGGAGTTATGCAAGTTATAAAAGTTTTATTGAGTGAACCGAAGGGTGAAGCCAGACTAATGCTTCACCACACAGATAGAGTTTATAACTATTTTAAAACAAAAAAAAATATTATTGATATGACCCTTAAGTCTTAAGTGTGTAAGTGTATAAGTTACGTGTGTGCTATTACCTCTCTCTCCAACCACTGGTAGAGCTGGTAACGTAGCTTCCCTCCATCCAGTTCATACCCTGTCGACAGGGTCCGGAGCTCATTGGTCATAATCTTCAAGCAGGCAGTAAACTTCAGCTGGGCTGCCAAGATGTCATTCGTTGGTTCTAGGAAGTCATCACTGTCCTCACTGTCCTCTCCTGTCACTGTCTCCATTAGCGGCGACATGGTATCCTGCGTGTCCTGGAATACGCTGCTGCTGTCTGCAGTTCTACCGCTCTTGAAATTTTTTGCTTCTTCTTCATCCTCATCATCATCTTTGTCACTGTCCCACTTCAAGTCCAGGGACTCGTCTGGAAGTGTCAGCGACGGCTGGCTCCAGTCAAAACTTAACACTGAATCTGACTGGCTGTTTTCATTGGACTCGTAGCCATTCAGAGCCGGCTGAGACCAATCTGGGTCTGATGTTTGTCCGTTCTTGCTCCCAACACTGAGTTCAGTAGCAATGCCTGTGTCCTCCTGGGTAGTGAGTTTGGAATGCTTGCGGACTTTGGGCATCTTGGAGAGGACTTCAAGTGCTAGCATGGGGCAGCCAGCTTGCAGATGTGCGTATGCAGCTGTGAAAAACAATCTTCTCTCCTCCAGGCTAATGGAGTCAGCCCTGCGACCCTCAGCAGTCAGGCCAACTTTAGCCTTGTCTGAAGAGCCAAAATGGCGTCGAAGTAGAAGTGGGTGGGTACGAAGGTAGGTGTAAAAGTTAAAAACCTCAGGGTTACATGTAGACACAGGAGAGGAACCTGCCATACAAAGAGACATAAAACACATTTTATCACTGTCTGTAGCACTACTACTATGAAAGCTACATTTCGTGTTTTGACCACAGTACCTGCAGGGACAAGCTGCATATTGGATTATATTGAATCTTTGTTAAAGACAATTGAAGGCATGCAGCTAATGTGAGCACTTGCACACTGACAAACTCTGTTCTGTTGTCCCTTAAAGGCGAGTAGAGGGTGTAGTTGGGAGTTGAAATACTGAAATGGCTGGTGGAAAAAAAGGTGATGCATTAAGTTCACTCTTGTTCATCTAGGTCTAAACAATGTAAAAAGGACCAGGCAACTCATACTTAAAACTCAGCCAGGACAGCACATAATCTATCAAGTAGAAGAAAACCATTTCCAACTTTCTATAAGCCAGTGTTTTCTTTTCTCTAAGCATATTAAATGTGCTTTGAGAGCATCATTTATGAAAGACATGTAGCACAGGGATGTTAATCTGGGACTGTCTTGGCTTTTAAGTCAAAGTGGGGTTCATATTAAGTTCAGTTCTTCATTTACTCGTAAGGCAAGCGCTGTATTTTTTCTTCAATTAAATGGTCTTCTGTGTCCAGTAGGCTGCAATTACGTCTGCAATTCACATACTTAAAGGACCAAAAATAGTTGCAAAGCTGAGGCATTTTGTAAAAAGCAGAGGATTCAACCTCACAGTGCCGAATTACAATTGGCCGCACTTATAGTTTATTGCCGTGGTTTTACCTGCACTATCCACAAAGAGAACAGCCTATTGAGATATTTTAAAAAGCTTCTAAAATTACAGACTATATCTTAAAAACAAACTAGCCAACAACACGTATTACAATACTAGCAGTCAGAACATGTGGCATGTGTGAATTTCTTTTGTTCTCATAATTGAGTATAATTTATATACGAACGTTCCGTCATTGGTAAAAAAAATTTAGAAATGACAACATAGTAGTGCAATGGTCATGACATTTGGCAAGTGCATAAAAATACAATACAATACAATTTTACCAAACCTCTGAATAAAGGTGAAGAAAAAACAGATGCACACAGAGCACTGCCGACCTACCAGCATCACATTTGCTCACAGTGGACCCAGAGCTGGCGCTGCTAGCAGGCTGCTCGAGTAGAGTGTCCAAGGCCCTGCTGTAATCTTCCAGGACCCAGTGAGCCATGCTGCGCAGGAACGGGTCCTGGTGTGCTTGAATCTGAAATATACCAATAATCACAATAGCTTATTCTGGTTTCTGTGGTGTATTAATTATAAAAATGCTGGAGAGTCAAACAACAATAGGTAGGTTGTGGAGGTCGTGGTATACACAAACTCTGTACCTGTTTGTCTTGTCCCAGAACATGTCTCTGGAGGATCCTTTTGTAGGTAGATGCTGTCTCAAACTCAGACTCATACAATCTGGAGATCACCAGGGCCAGCTGTAGGTCCTGCATTTTCTCTATACAAACCTGGAGGAGGAAATGAAGCACAATATTTCAGCCCAACATTTAAAATGCATTTTGAGCTACTGGCACAAATATTGACAAATAATGTATATTCTGGATGCACAGTAATCCAGCAGGACATGATTTTCTGTTCAGTAATGATCTGATTTCTCAACCAAAAAAAAGGTGAAAAATAAAAATATTTGCACATAGCAAAGAGTTAGTGGATAGCTCAAGTTGTTGTAGTTGCTCCCAACTGATAAGGTGTGAGGTGCATTTCAATGAGACTGATCTCCCAGACAGAGAGAGTAAGCAAAGTCAGTGATAGCCCTTTGCCTGGGTGACGCTCATCTCCATAAAATGCTTAGAGAAGCTCCAGTTACTCACACAGATGAAATAATGTGACTCATTGCTCTAGGGACTTTCTAAACAGAAGTAACCTTGATGAATAAAAGGTTAGGCAAACACGCTGACCAGATGCAGTCCTCTTAATATGTGAACAAAAAGACAGCAAGCTGTAGGTTTTCTGTGGCTTAACTTACCCCTGATAGATTGCAGAAATACTAATGCCTACATTAAAAAACAAAACTTAGGCAAATATATTTTTTATGAAATGAAGGTAGTGTTCCAATTTACAAAGCTTCAACAAGAGTGTGGAGTTGTGTGTGGGTTTATGAATGTGACAACATGCTATTGAAAATTCTCACAAAAAGGAAGAAAGGCAGCAACACCCAAGAGTCAACTGCCAACATCAAGTTTTTCAGTGCATTGTGCTAAAAGACACCACTGTGGAAATGCACTGAACTGTTTTAATAATAAAAAGGATGCTACATACTACAGAAATACTGGCGGCGAAGACTGTTCTTGTGAATGTGGTTTCTCTGGTTTGTACTATACCATTAAACACTGCCATTGACTATGAATGGTTGAAATTACAATGCTACAGACATTTTGTAAATGTAAATGAGCAGCTCTTGACTGAAAGCAAAGTTTCGATTAGCAAGCTGCCAAGAGGCACTTGCAGTTGAAGGAACAACTGCTTCTTGCAAACAGTGTGTCATGTCTATTTTCCACTTGCCTCCACAGCATCCTTAAGGGAGCCAGCTAGAAGGAAGAAAGCCGCAGAATGCTGGAACCGCTGCTTTCCCAACAGAGAAAAGGCATTTTTCAGTGCTGCTTTCCTCCACCGGTCCTCGCTGAAGTTGTTGCGGAAAAACTCTGTCATTTTGGCATTCTTCTGAGACCTGGAGAGAAAAACATGAAGGATTCAAAACAATACTGGTGTCATAGGTCTTCAGTCATCTGTCAGAGATAATCTTGCTTAAGGCCAGGAGCAAATAATGTGATGACTATATTTCATATGCAAAATTCAGTCAGTTTTGCCTACCTGTACAATCCCCAGACCACTGCCTTCTTTTTCATTGCGAGGTAAAATATAGCTGCATCCAGAGGATCATTGTTTCTCTGTAAAGAAGCCCTGGCAACCTGACAAAATAAATGAAAAAAACACATTCAGCTCAGGCCTCCTCAGCCTATACAGTTTTGTCCACAGAACAAGTTGTAGCTTTATGGGTCATTTCAGGGAGAAGCTCTACCTCAGTTATACTGCTGTATTTTACAGCAACCACAGCAAAATTTCACTTTCACCTTCTGACAGCACTTCATTTATAAATAAAGCAATCGATATGAAGTACGCAGGGCCAACAGCCGACCTCCAATGCCTTTATGTGGTGAATTTTGATGTGATTAACATCTTTAAAGTTGAAGGTTTGTAGAAAGAACAGGGAGACAATCTGGGTGAAAATGAGTTCAATCTATGTGCTGCTTAGTGTCAGACCACTACCGAATAAGACAAAGAAAAGCAGCAAATCCTCACACTAAACTACAAGTAGAAGATGTTGGTATTTTTGATTGAAAACTGACTGCAACTATTTTGATAAGTGATAAATGTTTTAGATTAGTTTTTGTGTCTATAGTTTTAAAGAAAAGAACTTCATATACATTTCCAAACCCTGAACTATATCATGATTTGATGATTAAAACAAGACTAGAATATGCGAGTCAAAACTAAATATTAAACTAAACTTCACTTCACAGAGGTACTGGTCTTTCCTACCTTTTCTTTTACACACGCAATGGGTCACTGTTTAGGATTTGAGCACAGACACCCAAACTGATGCTAATTAACAAATATCATTAACCTCCTCACCTTCTCAATACACCTGCGTAGTTTGTTGGTGCTGCGCAGCCACCACCCCACACCCATGGAGCGCAGCTCAGGCCAGGTAGGCTCTCCCTTCTGTAAGGCAGGCACCATGTTCAGCAGCTCCTCCTCAGCTTCAGAGTGGAAGGCCCAGGCATAATGGCATGTTGACAGGCCTGCAGAGAGGAGAAAAGGACATGTCGAAAATGGGGATTTTTCAAATTAGGTGGCACATAAGGAGAAACTTCACAGATTTCTAATCTTAAAAATCCACACACTACAAGATTTGAAAATACTGGCGCATCACACCCTAAAGGATATTATTATTATTGTGCCAGAGGGAGCAATACATGTGTTGTGATCGCATGGGGAAGCAGGTGTAAACAAAATGGAGAGTGTTGTAGCAGAACAACTTTCTGTGGTAACGTTAATGCTTTGCAGTGAGAAAAAACAAAAGCAGAGGGCTAAATGAGTCTGGATGAGAAAATGATTGGGTATATTTGGTCAGGACGAGTTGTCTCTTCTGTCAGTTTTAATATCCGTCAACAGTCGTATGCAAGCTGATGTTAGCCTCAAGGGCTAAAAAGTTTACTGCTGATTGGCAACACCTCTCTTTCACTTCTATACTTTATAGATTTTTATAGTCATAAAATTCAAATCATCAGTAACCTCCTCTCTTTCTAGCTTTAGGACCCTTTATAGAATTACTGCTCTGATACCTAGGTGGGCACTGAAGGAGTCTGAAGGAGTGCAGGGAGACAGCTCTTTAGGCAGCAAGCTGGAAACTTACATAAACTCTTGCAAGACCATACAAGGTAGTGTGCTAATTGTGAGGGATATCTGACTTTCTAATAAGTTTATCTGTAACTTCTGGTCTTATTAGATTATTTTTATCGATGTAATAGTGGCCCTGTACAGTGTGCTGAATGCTACAGTCTGTTCCTGCTTGTTTGTGTCAGCTCTGAAACGCCCCCAATGAAAAGTCTGAAAATCACTATCCTGTAATTGTACCTTGGCGTAGCAGCTGTGCTCGGTGTGCTGGAGGCAGGGAGGTAGAGAGGAAGGTATGGAGTCTGACGGCCAGCAAGAATTTCAGACCACACTCATCCAGCGTCTCTCCACCTGTTAAGTCAATGACAGTCAGCTCTTACTGCTACTTCAAAACATAATTACATAATGAAGTAGAATCTTATCTACTGCATTTCTATTCATTCAAAGAGCCCTTATTTTTTTAGTTTTCCTTTCCCTGCAGTACCTTTGCTCTTGCCCTGGCTGTCCTTGAGGTCTGTGCTTGTGGTAGCGATGGTGTCAGCCAGTGCCATGAGAGACATCTGCTCCATACGGGTTAAACCTGGTAAACTGGAATGAAGGAGGTGACTGGACAGAACCTGGGCATGTTCTGGACCAAAGTATGTCGGGCTGTACTGGGACAGGTCAATGACCTACAGACCAGGAACAAGAAAGAAGACAATCTGTAAAATGTTATGGTATTTCTAATTTATAAGACAACACACTAATTTCAAAAGAAACCAACCTTGTTCCCCGTTTCCTCTTGATTGCTGTCCAGAGGGTCCAGGTCCGCTATACTGGGTGTTTGAAAGAGCTCATCATAAGCGTCAGTGTGACTGGAACCATGCCCGCTGTCTCCACTCACACTGCCCACTTTATCTGTATGGAAGCACAAGACAGGGCTAAATTCCACAATAAATGTATTTCATAAGAGATGTGCACAAAATCTTCCTGCTGGTTTTCAAAGATTACATTATATTAAAATACTAAAGAACATTAAATGTTTTTACTGTATATGTGTTTCTGTTTTCATTCTTCTCACTTTGTATCCCTAGACAAACAATGAGGAATAGCTAGAAGACCAGTAAGTAGAATATTGTTCTTTCTCACACTTTGAGGCCGGGGGCTGAACATGGTATTTGCTTTTTCCATGTTTTTCTCTTCATTTGTTTATGTACCTGCTTAAAAGCATGCCTGATAACTTTTGTTGTTGAAGTTTTTTTAGACATAACGTACACTGACAAAGTTACAATCTTCAATTCTCAATTCAACACCAAAGTAAATCCAACTCCAGTCTACCCTAATAAGTAATTATCCACAAGTGCAGTCTTTGATAGTTATTATAGTCCAGTCTCAAACCATGATTGACTTGCAGAGGCATAGTCTTAGATGAGCACGTAAAAATGCTAGATTAAAAAAAGAAACACAAAAATCTAACATCTGATGCCTCTTTGGCTTAATGTAATGGGATTGGTATTGGAATCAAATTACAAGTTAACATCCTTAGTCCATGATTATTGTCATTTTCCAACTATGCTGCCTATGTACTACTTAAATAAAGTTTACCCTTATTTTATTAACTACTGAATATTAGTATTCTAAAACCACATGTTTTATACCCACCAGGTTTTGGTGACGTATCCTCATCAGCTGCCAGAAGTGCATACAGAGGCAGGGGAGGGATGGAGCTTATCTCTGTGTAGTCGGGGCTTGAGTTCTCTGCCTTGCTGAACATCTTCCGGTCCCTGGCTGTGCTGCCTCCAGCGCTGATGGTTCGAGAGCGTACACGCTTCTCGGGATTAGAGTTACTGTCTTTAAGTGCCACAATTTCTCCAGCAATGCATTTTACCAGGTGAGAGAGGATGGCTTTAGCACGGTGAACCTTAAGATAGACAAGTTATGTTACCCGTTTACATTTTAAAACACAAGTCATCTTATATTACGATTTTTAAAGCAATCACAACTCATCGAATTATTTTAAAATGTATTAGTCTGTTTTACTAAAGCTTCAATTCAATTATAGTAACTGACAAAACTGCCCTGTTATATCAACTGGAAAATATGTTCAAATATAGAACAAAACAATCAAAAAAGATAAAATATATCTTTTATAGATATTACTTGAGTAATTCCTTCAACTTACCTTCCCTAGATCCATGAGCTCCAGTAACTGTACAGGATGGTATTGGGGCAGAGTGGGAAAGAGTTGGTGAGCTGCTTCAAAAAGCCCAGAATCTTCCATCTCTAGAGGCAGGTCATAAGCTGTTCTCTTCCCACTGAGTTTCTGAGCCAGGCTCATCATTGATCTTGTCAGGGCCCTTTTGGGAGGGGCCAGTGAAGACATGGGGGCCCCAGCGCTGAGAGCATCCTCCTGGCTCTGTCTAAGGGCTGAGGTTATGGAGGAGATGCTGCTGCTGATGTCTGTATCTTGGGCAATTGTGCCATTGGATTTGGGTGGTGCTGGGGGCTGCCACTGGGAGTAGACATGCATCTCACAGTCCATACCTGCTACCAAGATGCCATCTCTTACCCAGGAGAGGGAGACTGGAATGGGTAACGAGCCTTCAACAGAAGAGACCAGATCCACTGTTCGAAGCAGAACCAGTCGAGAGGAGCTCTGGTCTCTACTGGCATCAGATGACAGACAGAGTTCTGGAGGTTTCCCAGAGAGACAGCCGTACAAATAAATCTTTGTGCCAATACCAACGGTCAGAACATGTGATCCATTCTCCTGGGAGACCCAGTCCAAATGAACCAGGCTCTTGCTAGTAGAACCATGGCAGTTCTCGTTGGGTATAGAGAAGTCCATGTTACTTGGAACATTGGCACTTCCAGTTGTGCTATTATCATTGTTAGCTGTGTGATCTGTGCTGTCCAGAACTATCGTCTGCTCTAGAATCCACTGCGACCCACCAGTGGACTCACACTGGAAGATGTCAATGTGGACCAATGGTTCTCTAGTGTTTGCTGGGTTGGAGGTTGGAGTGAGATTTGGGCTACGCTGTACAGTCAGGGTTGGGGTCAGGTGAGTGTTTGTGTTGTTGTAATTCACATAAGGGGTGGAAGCCAGGCTGGGAGGAGAAGTCAGCAGTCCATGTGAGTTCAGATGAGGTGTTAAGTTCAGGGGTGTGTTTGCCGTCTGCCTGTAAGCAACTGCAATCCGTCCAGCGTGACAGCAGCTGACCTCTATAGGGCGACCTTGCACGCTTACTGCGCTGCTGTTGGGAAACCTCTCCTCCACCAGGAGAGGCCACTCCTCCCATTGGTACACCAAGTTGTCGATACTGGAAGGCTTTGTCGCAATGACATTACACCTCCAGAAGCGCACCTTTCCATCAGAACAGGAAGTAGCAAGGAGGTAAGGCACGCGTCCAGCTGGCAGAGAACATGATGCACTCAAGTGACCTAGGAAGAGAGTTGAGTTACACTGTTAGGTAAGGATGTTTATCTTAAACTCTTAATTGTAAAATTTAATTTTTTAACCCTTTAATATCGGTAAATGTCTTTGAATTGATTAAAGATAGATTTTTTTATTGGATATATAAGTGCAAGTGAAATAACAGCTTTTTTGTGGGCTTACCACAATACACAGTTGAAAATCATTATGCATTTTGAGTAGAATTTCAAATTGTTGAAAAAACATCTATCATCATCACTTTGAAAGTTTCTATTTTTCTTTCCAAAGATAATGGAAATAGCTTTTTATTAGTCGATAAACAAAAGTCTATACTTGACTTCTATACTTGAACTTTAAAAAGGTTATCTGAATCAATGTTTTCAATCATTTGTTAACTAAATGGACCATTTCTTTAGAAATGAAGTTCCATGGCAACATAAAATTTACATTTCAGTCTGTGCTGGTGTTTGTAAATTCCGCAGTAGCTGCTAAATTTCTTTATCTGTGCCCTGCTATAAGACTGGCATACTTGCACTGAGGACACTGCTTTAATTCACACAAAATGTAAAGAAAACTATAATTATTACACTGCTGCTACTACAATCAATATTGCACTTTTTCACACATGGAACGCCTTGTGTTGTGTGATGTTTGTCTCCTGCATTTCACTACAAGAGAAAGTTATAGACTTACATCATGTGTATGTGCATTGTCCTCACCTGCTGAGGGTGTAACACTGATGGCTTCCACCCCTTCTGGCAGAGCCATCTCCTGGCTGTATAGCCTGTGTGTTGTGAGGCTGAGGCGACATGCACTCTGCAGATTGGAAGTGCAGGGTTTACTCTTCTGAGCTACTGGAGAACTGAACGTGTCAAAGTTAAACTGAGAGCTGTTCAAAGGAGAAGCTGTAGTGGCATCCTTCTCTGTCATGGTCTCGTCTGTGGGGACATAAACAGGAAGAGGGAAATATTATAAAGCCAAGACATTTTTTTGGGTCACAACTCAGTGAATGCAGTGACAGACACTGCATTTGAGTCATTATTTGCATTTGACTTTAATATCTTTTTGGCAGATGTACAACCGTACCAGTAAATTCAGTTCAGAGTACAGTACTATTTCTACAAGGTAAATAAAAACTGATACATTTAAGAACTTCTCAGCAGAGTTATTGCTTACTAACATCACAATTTTGTCAGGTTTCTAGTTCTTGTGACTTTCTCTGGGGGTAAAACTGTCCTTTAAAGCTGCCATTAATTTGGTTATGGTAACAAGATAATTGATAAAAGTGTTTATCCTGAAGCAAATGTGGCAGTGAATCAATTTTTTTCCTGTGAACTTTGAGTCTTTTGTTTAAAGTACCCACCCATGGTGACCGGTCGAGCAGCAAGATGGAGATGCCACATGTGGAGGAGCGAGCGACCTGTCGGGGTCAATTCGACCACCACGAGGAAAAACCGTGCCGAGAAGGCTGGCTGGCTAGAGGCTGCAGGGAAACACACACAGACAAAGAGAGATTAATGAGCAGTGCCACTATGGTGGTGTACATTTTCAAACACTGAGTTAGAAGAAGTCATTTTGGCCATACCAGTGTGGGGAGAATCAGGAGTTTCCTGTGTGCTTTCTGCTCTCTCACTGCCGAGGATCAGATCCTCCTCAAAAACATGCAGGAGCTGGGTCTCCTTCCCCTGCTGTAGAGAACAACAGCAGCTATCATTAAACGGAATCAGATGCAGCCACTGAACAACATGCTTCATCCACTGTGAAGCCGATACGCAAACACACAAGTTGTGTTTGTTAGTCTTAGACAGACACACACACAGGAAAACTGCCTGAGGGGATGAGAGAAGGTTTACTCTGCACCCGTTTGTTGTCTCATGGTTGACCTTTTACAGAGACTCAAAAAGTCTACTGCAGAAGGTTTTCTGCTACCAATAAATAAATATATTACAGTTTATATATCCTTTATTTCAAGGGAAGGTTTCTGTTAGTATCCTCTTCATCCAAGATGTTTACAATGTCTCTCTACTGTTAGCTGTTGATCAGAGAGAGAGCAGGAGCAAAGGAAATATGTTTGAATACTCTTGGTCTTGGTATGTATACTTACAAAACCAGTGATGGTATCCAGCTCGATAATACATCCTGGTTTTGCTGTGGATTGCTGACTGATGATGTTGAACACCTCCCCGACATATTTCTAAAATGAAACAAACAAAAAAATGTTCATTAACTGACCACTATTACATTACGCTATTACACAGTCAAACAAACATAAAGTTAATGTGCCAATTGTGCTTCTGAAAATTAAAAATATATAACCAATATCTGCGCCGTCATTGACGACACTTTATGAAAACAGTGAGCTGTTTATAAGCAGTGCAAGAAAGAATGTCCTTAACAGACTAGTTATGAACTTTCTTGTTCATAACTCTGCTCTGTTATGGACTAATAATAAACCTCCACTTCTTGCTGGATTCTACTCTGCTCTATTTGGTTAGAAGGATCACTGCCATTCATCTTATTTCTCTTCTCTTGTTAGTTAATTGTGCTCCTATGTAATTTTCCTACCGAGTCATCCAAGGCTGACACTAATGAAGTGGCAAGACTGCAAATTAACAGCACCTTATTACCTCACTGATTCTGTTGGGTGCAAGGGGAAACACTGATGTGCTGTTATTGGTGTGCATAAAAATAGTTATTGCAAGTTTGCAGTTTGTTGGAGTTTGGGAATCCGGTTTGAGGGCTTACCGATATCTCAGGATTAGAGAGCTCACTCAGGAGTTTCTTAGCTTCAATAACAGCCTGATACAGTCTGAGTGAGTGGCCGTCACTTGCCACAAAGCAAGCACTTGGAGAGTTACAGTACACACCTACAAACAGAAAGAACATTGAACAGTGTTTGCTATTATGCTTAAATAAACATAAAATACAAATATACAGAATACTGAGTTACAGTACATGTGACAAACAAGCAAATATTAAAGACTCCTGTTATAAAGTCATACAGACCAAGTACACTACAGTAACAATTTGATTTGGAAATTTAAGGCCTTCGTGGATTTTATGGAGTTGAAATGAGTTGTTTTCACAGGAATTGTTTATTTATATTCAAATTAGGGAAAATGTACTCAGACTGTTCTAAATTATTACCTATGGGGATTTCATGTCCCAGAGATCTCATTTGGTTATTTTTTTGTTCAGTAATATTCCTTCATATTACTGAACCAAAATAACTGGAATTATGAAAATGAAGTTGTGCCAACTAAAATGGTTGATTGAAAAAGAAAGAGAGAATAAAGTCTTCAGCAATCTCATATATGTTTCTCACCTAAACAGCTGCTGGGAATGAGCGTGGGCAGCCAGGCTACATTAGCAAATGCTGATGCATGGAGAGAATTGATCCGAGCTAGCTCGGAGACCCCGCCTGACAAAGACAGTGGGCCAACAGGGTCCACTCTCCACAAAATCAGCTCACTGTAGATCGCATTGGGATCCTGGGAAACGACACCCAGGGACACCCGGCTGGGCCGTGACCCACGCGGCAGAGAGGCTGAATGAGGGAAACCAGAGAAGCAGGCGTCCGGAGGAGCCAGGATGTTGTCTACCTCTGGTGTCCTCAAGGCGTTGTGGTGTGAGGTGGTGAGGAGGAGAGGGAGCAATGAGTGACAGGCAAGGTCATTGAGGTGGAAGCGGTGGCCACAGTACCGTGACTTGTGAGAGACGCTGAGCACAGTGGAGAAAGCAGAGTCCTCTGCGAAGCTGACTGCCCACTGGTTTAGGGAGCCATCGGCATGTTTGGAGATCATAAGGACGTTGGGGGTGAAAATGCTTAGTCGAAGACTGCTGCTGGATGCAGCTTTTCCTTGACCACCGTAGCTTATTAGAGCAGATTTGGTTTGAGGCAATGTGCTCCCAGGTGGTCGCTGTCTGCCATGTTGGATAGCTAGATCCACGTTCTTGTTGCAGGCATACATAACCACACTGTGGCTCAGGGAGATTGCATCACCTGTAGGGAACGCTACAGGGATACGGGACACAAACGACACCTGAAAGAGAGATATCATAGCAATGACATCAAAGCAACTAAAACGTACAGCAGCGAGTGAGTGATAAGAAGGATTCAGTCAATTAAGTAATTCTCTTTTAGCTTGAAATAAGCATACATTATGAAACAGCTAAAGTTCCCATGTGAATGCGGTAAGGACACCTATGGCAGTGAAGATCATGAGCACCCTTTTCAAAAGGGTTAGCTAAAAACAAAGGGCTGTAATTCTACTATTCTCCATTCAGAAGCTGAGAACTGACTTTGTGAAATTAACTGGGCCACAGTGATGGAGACTGGAGGGATACAGCCTTCTCTTCACTTGCTCCTGCCTCATATATGTAAAAAAGAATAATGTTTAACAAAACTTATGCTAATAATAATACCGGTATCTGTCTGTTTTATCTAATTAAAGCAGCCAGGCCTAATCAACCTGAATGTCAATGAAACTTGGGATTCTTTTAGCTGCCCTGCCCGACTGACTGACTGCTATGTCACAAGGTACTCATTATTTCACCGCTAATAAAAAGGCATCAGGGGACTTTTGAATTTGATTTTGAAGTCACACATAATTAGAATATAATTGTCTGAACGGCTGAATGAGAAGCCATTAGAAAAGGAGCTGGACCATCACAGCTGTCAAAATGATTCACAACCGTATTGAGATGATAAATTACTTCACTCCCCAAGAAACACTTTGTGAAATTGTGAATACAAACAAGTTGTTTGCAAAAGTGACCAAAGAAAAGTCTTCTTTGTTCACAGTGTTCATTAAATTATACAGTAAAAATATAATTGATCTTTGCTTTACTGCAGTTTTCCCATCACAACACTTTTGTGTTACTGTGCTTCTTGATCAATCTCTCAAACTATGATTATCAACATTTATGAATATACCTATACAGGTAAAAAGGTGAGGGATTAAGTTCATTAAACATCAACATCAGTTTTGTTGTTGTTGTTTTACATAAACATAAACTACATTTCCAGTGAACACACCTGAGCTTGTCTGAACATGCCTGGCTGGTATTCATCTAACCAGTCTACATGCCAGACTAAGAGAGAGCCGTCCATGGGATGGATACTGAACAACATGTCTGCGCCTTTGTTCCACTCCTCTAACAACACTTCCACCTGGTGCTTCACTGCTGCCAGAGGAAGCTCCACAGCCTCAGGTCCTTGGGAGTCACTTGGCCCACTATTATTATCTTCTTCGTTAAAGTTATCTTCATCTTCAGCCTCTGAAAGAGAATGAAAAATCATAGTGCCAAAATTTTAATTTTGAAAATGAGTATGGAGATTAATGAAAAATGTAAAAAGTCTCACTTTTTGATTGGAAAGTCAGAGTCTAGATTTGAAAGCATTAATCTTGCTTCATATGCAGTTCATATAAATTGTTAATGTCTAGTCTAAATATTTGTTTGTACCTTCTTGGGAGCAGTCGTTCTGTTGCTCTAGGCTGCCTCGGAGCTGCTGCAGGAAGACCTCCATGGCTAAAGTGAAATGAAGCTCTTTGTTGTTGAGCCAGTGGACAGTAAAAAGACCTCCAGGCTCCTCGTCATCCACGCCACTCAGAGAGGAGATGGAGGGAAGCAGAGGAATGTCTGTGATAAAGAATGCAAGTGATGTTAAAACGTTTAGAAAAAGATGGCAAAGAATAACAGAAATTAACATTACATTAGATTTGGGGCATGCAGGGCAGAGAGACATCTGCTGGAGCAAATTAACTTTCATGAATATGGTTCGAAGTATACTTAAATATTATTCAAGCATACAAATACAATCCTACAAGACTTCTCAGCCTCAAGGCTGAAAGAAGATTTTGCCCTGATTCAATTCAGCATAAAAGCTTATAGGGATGTTAAATAAACAACCTCAGGCAATCTACAAATTTTAAAGCATTTTTGCCATTAGAAACACAGGGGTGAAGCCCTCTGACCTCAAGCTGATTATATTCAAGCAGAGCTAACTATATATGTAGTGTCTATGGTTTACAAATAACTAATGATTTCTATACTGTAGGTGTGCTACATTATTTCCTTCTCTTTAAGAAATATTTTGAAATATCTTGTAGCTGCAAATTCTTCAATAAATTGGGAGCAATGGCTTGGTGTTTCAACACAATGCTGGTAACGAGGATCAACAGGATTATTATCAATAAGTAACAGAAACTAATGTGCTTGAATCTGACCGGTGGCAGGGTTGATGCTGGCAGCTATGTGGAAGTGGCAGAGAGCGTTGGCATGGGGCATGTTGCTGCTGCTCTTCTTGTGGTTGTAGTGTCGGCTCTGATGGTGAGGCAGGCAGCCAGTCAGGGAGGGCTGAGGCACATCCCGATAAAAGGAGGAGTGCAACGAATCTTGAAAATTCAACTGTGAGGAAAACATAGATTATTCAGGTTAGATAATTACTAAACAATACTTAATGCGTTATGTTCTTACATGCTAAAGTTCTGATACCACAAATGTGATGATTGTTTTGACAAAAATGAAATCTATATCTTATGAATGTAGACTGCCTTGAGTTTATCAAAGTGATTTTCTCATAGATTATAAATGTATGTACAAATCACAGAGGCAATGATGTCTTTAAAGAGATTAGATCTTCTTAAATAAACTGAAAAGCAACAAAAATGTTATAGGGTGAGGCAAGGAGGTGAAACACCATTGTTTTCTGATAGCCCTTTCAGGTTGACATAGCGATGCAGGTTAAACCTGATTTTGGAGGCTGATGTGAATTACTCAACTTGTACCAACAAACAGGACTTCACTGTTCTCCTCCGAGCCTGAGCTGAGCTACTCTCCACCAGTGTTACTCTTAGGGATGGGAATTAATTTTAATGTTGTTGATGTTTAAACAACATTTAAGTTTAACTGCCCAGTTTGTCTAAAAAAGCCAGGGAGAAAGAGGCAGCACAGAAGAAGAATGGCTGAGATAAAGAGAGGGGCATGTAAAGGGAAGTGAAATGAAACCTTAACTTAATTTGGTACTTTGGTTATGTAATTTGGTTTTTCCTGTTGTTTCTCAGTAACGTGTAAAGACCTACAATTTGAGACTTGAGCCTCTGTGAATGCACACGACAAGGTATTAACCCGTTACAGCAGTCTCATATGAATGATCTGAAAGACAGAGAATATTAAGTTTCATGGAGATTATTTAACATAATAAATGGTCCGAATTTTGCTGATTTTATGCAGCTTCTCTGATGTAGAATGAGTAACTTGAGCCGTAAGGCTGCAATTTCTCCAAGTATTATTGAGATTAATGCGCTCATCACTTCCAAAAAGCAGTCCTTTGCGAATATTGATAAGAAATGTGTGTAAATTCACCATTTGAGTATGCATCTGCCAAAGCAGATACACATACTTTAGAATGGGTTTATAGCTATGTAGAAAAAATTGATTGTAGTGGAAATCCCATATCACTGTTTCCTCTGGAGGCTCTCAAACAGTATCCTTATCAAGAAACTTTGGGATTAATTAACTTCATTGATTTTGCGAGAAATCTTGTACTGTTCATCCCTCCCTGAGGCATCATATTAAAATGGAGTTTAAAATAGGGCTCTCTCAGTATTGTCCATCCATTCAATTTTGGAGGGGGAGAGTTACCTCAGACTACTGCCTGGATGATCCAGCACAGTCTGTGATTTTTAATGAATAATTCCACACATGTACTCTTACAGACTATCCTCAAGGCACAGTAGAGAAATTTGCATACCTATTTTTCCTGTAATCTAATGTGCCCTGAGCTCTGTAAGTGCCAGTGAGACCCATAACCATTTAAATGTCCATATTTAAATGGATGGAAGTTTTGTGTTTGAGGCCTAGCTAGGCTATCAGCTACAACACTAGTCACTTAAAGCAGAAGACACCACCATTACAAATGTGAGTTAGCAACAGCAAAATGAAACATAAAAACAACCATAAAAAAAGTTATAATTTTGAGGTGTTTCAAAGATTACAGAAAGGAGGCCAATATTTTTCACTGATCCTTTTCTTAAGCCCTGCAAAGCTTCAAACGCCATCATCATCATGTCTGATAGCCAATTAATTTTCCCTTTTAACTACTCTAAGCCACTGTTTTTCTATCTTCTTTCTCAGTCTCCCTTTGCTCTTGTTCCCTCATCTCTGCAGCACCCTAATGTCCTACATTAGCAGTGGTGAAAATATAGTAGCCTGGCTTCTATAACAAGGCCAAGTGGGGCAAACCACAGAGCACAGCATTTGTGCTACTTATTTTCCCACTGTTTATGAAATTATGGTGATTTTTGGGGGATTTTATAACCAAAATAGACAACATTCTCACTGTGAAACAGCTTTATAAATAATGCCTTTGATTCAGACCCAAACAAATGTTGTTGACCCCAGCAAACACTTCTTTGACCCTAGTTTTCTGATATAGGGTTCAAGATGAAAGCTTTTCCAACGGTCTCAATCTGTGTGCTACATTGTCAAATTATGGCAATGATACTGAAATTGGAAAGAAAGAAAGCAGATTTAGAACAACATTTTGAATTTTAAGATATATTACATATTATTATAGTATATATTTTTTATGATGTGATTTGGATTCTAACTATAAACCCTACCTTTATTAAATGTATAATGTTATTTGTTGAAACTGTTTGTGTGTCAATTTAATGTTAATTTTTGAAGTTACATTCCTGCTGAATTATACTTATACTATACCCCATTCATGTTGGTATGGGTAGGTATGGGCACTGCAAACTACAGCCTCCTTAATGAGCATAAAGTTGAATTAACACCTCTCTTAAATAGACTTAACAAGCACTGAATGTAAAACCCTCATAAAAGGCCTTTATTATTATTCATTACTGACTGTTGTATTAGACAGAGTTGGCAGTCAATTTAGGTACAACTAGCTAAAACAAACAGAGCGTATTTATCTTTAGCAAAAACAAAATGACAATGGAGTTGCTTACTTCCTGTGCTGTTCCTCCTTGTGTCTTGCCATTGCAGGTGTTTTTCCTAGGGCCAGCACATCTGAGTGTGTCACTGTGTTGGCCAGAGGAGTGGTTGTTATGGTAACCAGACAGGAGGCTGTCACCCGGCAACAGTGTCTCAGCCCAGAGCCGACACACGCTGTCCTTACAGCAGGTGAGCAGAACGTTACAAACTGCACCCCTGTTAGGAGAGAGGGAGGACAGCAAAGTGGAAAAGAAAGGATAAAGGCAAAATGTTTAGGCTGAAGTCTGATGCTGGGTACTGAACTCTTCAGTTTTTATCATCTAACATAGTACTATTCAGTATCAGGTCAAAGGAGCAACACCTGCAGAGAGATAAGTTAAAGTAAAGGTCAAACAATGAAGGTTAACAGGAGTAGTAATGACACTGGTGATAAAGAAATGACTGAATCTAATTTTGTCATTAATGTAGGCCATGATTACAGAGCAAGATGCCAAAGGTAAAATAAGAGATTTCCTAAATGCTAATTTATCGAAGCAAATAAGCTTACTGTGAACTCTGGCATAACATTACACTGTTTTACTTTCTGTTTCTCTGATCTGATAAGCAACAGTTATCTCTTCCTGGTAATTTCCCAAATAATATTCCTGTACGCCAAATCTGCCATGAACTGTGTCAGATCATAATTTCAGACAGAAAACAATTACAGGCTACATAAGATAAGCAATGCTGTAACAAAGCAAGGCAGAACTGGGAGTAACAGTATAGTGTGATACAGCCTTTAACCTATTGTTTGTGCTTGCTTGTGAGAGCTCATTCATTTTTATTCAACCCACAAATACAGTATATTGGGCGGCTAAATAAACAGAAAGAGATACTCCCTGTTTACCCAGTGAAACAAGCCTAAAAAACAGGTTATGCGAGTTGAGTATTGTTTTAGCCATTATTGTGCAATTGGTAATTTGTGATTTTATAATTGGTGTACTCAGCTGTGTCAGCCTAGGTGAAAACTAACCAATTAAAAATATTTTTTTGTGTTTGACAGTGTCCATACCGTGGCATGTACTTGCTGGTCTTCCTCCAAGAGAAGCCTGTAACAGAGCGGGGATGGGCCAGGTAGACAAAGGAAAAGGCCAGCTCTCCCTGGACACCAACATTGGGTTCTGGAGGTGTGAAGAGACTCGCAACACCTGACTTCCACTTACTGGTGCTGTACCAGACCTTTACTAGGCAGTCATCCTTAAGAGGAGAGACAAATAGGGATATAATGGATGCCATAATGTAGGATGTGCTATTACAAGTTAAAGCAATTAGGCTAAATGTTTTTTTAAAACATTAAAAGGTAGGCGCTACTCATCTGTTACTTTACAATGACATGCAAGTACAGTACAGTGTTTGGCTAAATAGAAATGCAAACATGACTAATTTGCATCCAAATTCATACAGGTTTAGCATCTCCTGGTACCAGCCACTTACCTGTCCAGCAGTAGCAAAGAATTCCCCGTCAGGAGAGAACTTCATTAAACTGACTGGAGAGGCCGTCCTTCAGACAAAAAATACATAAATTACATTATTTTCAATATAGTCAACACAAGAAAACTCTGCATTTTCAGATATAAAATATATAGCAAGTAATGGCAGCTGATTAAGACAGAATAAGGTTAAATTATTATATCACTATTGGAATATAAAGAAATTTTATTTCTGTATCAATCACATCTGTACACAAAAGCTGTATATAGTGCACATATAACTCTTATTATTATTTTTATTATTTCTATTATTATATATTGTATTTCTCATTCTATTTTTTATTTAATGTGTATTTTCGTAACTGTTGTGTTGTATCTAGAGCTGCTGTAGTCAGTGAAATTCTCCAGTGTGGGATCAATAAAGTATCTTTTATCTTAAATAAAATCTATAATAGCTGGCTTTGTTTAGTATGTATTTAGTGTATAACTAAAAATAGTGTTGATAAAGTATTAAAGTTATCCACAGAGCAATAAAAATCCCTCTCTTGAAGTTATAGATGTAGGCAGTATCATGTGCAGATTTTGTACTTCTCAGTTCTTACTTGCTCTGCCAGATGCAACTCCAGGCTGAATGAGTGTCTCTTATGGTCATTTCTGTCTGCTTTCCTTCTTTTTCAGCTTCATCTTTTACTCCATCAACATGTGACCACAACTGGAGGCTACTAGAGCCAGTTAAGAGAGTGCTGCCTAGAGACACAAAAACACATTCACATTCTCAGGACATATTCCACCCATTAATTAATTAATCATTTGTTAAAAAAAAAAAGGAACCCAAAACTTTTTAGGACACAACTATAAGTTTTTGTGTTACTTTAAGAGAGCCCTATATATCACAGTACCTGTGGGGTGCCAGGCCAGGTTCCGTACCATAGACTTTAATACAAATTGACCGGTCTTCTGCCATTGGCAATTCACCTTCTGTACACACAAAATAAAAACATAATTTTAAAAGAATATCGAATGATAAAAATAGCACAGGTTCTGTAAGAAATCATTCCGTATCAGTAGTTCCAACTGCCTAACATTAACCAAAAGTGAAGCTGCTCTCATGTGAGCCACATGTGATCAGGCCACACAGACAGCAGCTGTAATACCAGGGAACTTCTGCAATGAAAGAGGTACTGAGTTGTGTTTAGGATGTGTAAAGCTTTTCCATTCCTTATGACTATTCTTTGACATCTAAAAACAACAGAAGGCTGCTCAACGCTGACATACAAACCTAAGACTTCTGTATTGTACTCCCAAGAATGGGAATAAACAGTAAACATGGCAATGCCAGCAAGACTTCATTCAAAATTTCCCTAGGAATGTGCATGTCTGTTGGAAACATTTGTGCTTCCCTGGCGACTTGTGATGGGTTTCAAATATGAAAGTGGCCTGAAAAAACAAAGGTCTAATTTTTTCAGGATGATCTGAATAAATGGATGACCAGACTGTGACTGGCGAATGTAGTCTACTCACAGTCAGAGATGTGTCTTTTTGATCTGGGTGCTGAACAGGCTCAAAGATACACACAATGCTTCCATAGGAAGCCGCAATCTGTCCACAGAAAAAGAGAAACATGTTAGATATCAAGACATTTTGTTTTCTGATACAGAATGAAAAGGTATCACCCAAAACACAACCATGTTATTTCACACATTCAATTTCTAAATAAGCAAAACTAATTAAATTTCTTGTAGGGGAAAAAAATCCTTGTTTTGACTATTTAGGCTGAGAATAATGAGTGTGGATCCTTACACAAAATATTAACTGGGGGTAAATAAAAAAAATATTATATAAACCATGACATGTCTCAACAGTAAAGGAGTACAGTCCTTGGACAACAAATCAAAAATACGTATACACACCTCCCATTCAGGCATTTGTTAGAGCTGCACATACAAGTGCTTTCCATGGGAGCCACAGTCATAATGTTAAACAGACTGAATGGGTGACATTTCTATGGCAGTGACCACAAATACCAAGCTTAATAAGGTCCCGGTCTTGAGTACAAGCTGTGTCTCTATTGGGATAAATAATATGCCGACTGTCATAGAATGAATACCGTGAAGCAGTCAGTCACACTCTCACACGTGCAAATGTGCATGTATTAACACATACACACACATGCAAGCCATTACAGGCACAAACATGGTCTCATAAAATATTTGACAGACAGAGGCTCATGGCATGTTAATACATAAGGAAAATATATCATTTGTTTATAACGGTTAATTTTTAATTAGATTCCAGTGGAGAACAAACATAAGAACTAACAATATACTGAGGCTCTAGCATAGGGAATAAAGTTGTCAAGTCAAGATAGGCCTGTTCTTAGAGTGGCAAAAAGAAAAAAGTTCTCCCCCTTTTGTCTTCATAGTGTTGCTCTGCACAAAATCTAAATAAACAAAGGAATTCTTTTAGTTTGTTTTGTGCTAAAAATAAATTTCTCTTCATGAAATTAAGCAATGCAAAGCTCTGTAGAGTCTAACCTGCTGCATCACAACATAAAATATAGTATAAAAGGCCCAATGCAGGTTACTATTCTTATCAGTGATTGTGTCGTTTGCACTAATTGTATTCAAGTGTCACAATAATGTGGTATTCTTTAATTAAAACAAATTGCACCTTCAATATAATGTTTTAAGAAAATACATGTTTCATGGCAGTGGGTCATTAATGCTAGTGGTCAAAATGCATCTGAAGTGCTACAAAATGTATGAGTGCAGGGGATGTGTGTGAACAATACTGTGTAAATAGCATTGCAAACAGAGTGGACAGAGAGACAGTGAGGTGGAACTGGCAAGCATAACAACTGAGCATGCTTAAACAGATGCTAGACCATGCTGGAGGCATGTGAGGTTCCTTCAGGCCGGACTGAATTGGATTAAACATCACGAGGGGAGGTGAAGGATTGGTGGGTTGGATTAAAAGGATAGCTTTTTTAACATTTGAATTAAATCAGGCCTTTCTTAGACAAGGCAACCACCCCTGTTTCAAAGAATAAACCCAAGTTAAAAGTGATGACCTCGCAATGATGACTTCTGCCTTGAAGATCTCTAGTAATTTATGCAGATTAAGTAATCCTGGATCTTCCCTTTTTCATTTGTTTGCAGCATTTTCACTCAGTAGCTAAGAGGAATAATGAATACTGTGATGCTGTAATAATAATGCAGGATGGGTTGCTTTGGCTTCCACTGAAAAAAACAGCACTCTTTCAAGCTTGAAAAATATGGAAGATGATCATTAGCTTAGTCTGCGGAGATGCTACAACTTGTGGGGTTTTATGAGTTTTGTTTTAGACCTAAATACAAATTTGGTTGTAATTACTACCACTGATAATAAAACAATACAAGCGAGACATATTATTAGTAGTAGCAGTAGTAGTAGTGTTATTAGTATTATTACAAACAATCCCTGAAGATATTCAGTGAGATTCAGACATGACCTTTTGCAGCTTTGCAGTTAGATTTTATGGCATCTGTTTATATTATAAAGTCCAAAACTCTCTCAACAGAGAGAAACTACTCAAACAACAGGTCTGAGTTTGGACTAACAGTGGGTCAACTAGTGTCAGCAAGTGTTGTGTTCAATCTCAAGTTTTTTAGCTTTTTTTAAACTTTTTAGACAGAAAATAATTCAAAACAGTCAAAACAGTCAATTCCAAATTTAAGAATATAAAGTATAATTCTTCATTCTTGCAGCAACTGGGACTAGTCCAACCCCCTTCTTTCACAAAGTTCACCAGAAAACCAGACAATACAAGTTTAAAAATCCAGTTCTACATTTATACTATCCCTGTAGCAAACTGAAAGTGTACACACAGGCAGTTCTCTTGTTGTCTTTGTGCCACAGATGGACTTGGAACTGAGTTCAATTAGACCAGATCACAAAGACCTCATAACAGGAATTCACTATTACAGATCTGTCCCAGATACACTTTATAAACACTTCACAACAGCTCTTTTGTTTGGGCCAACAGTTAAAACCACTCTGGGGTCATTACAGGGATTATCAGGGGCATTATATCAGTGTATGTGCCTGCTGTACCACTACTTGCTTTTCGGGGTGATTTTTCCCTCACTTGGAGTTGATGACAGGAAGCTGAAGTTCATTAAACAGCCACTGACGTTGCCAACAAATCTTTTTCCTGAAGACATAAGCTGCCCACAGTTAATAAGAGGGCAACTGAGTGCCACTAATGTGCCTTGCAAAACAGTTACAGTTAATCTGTAACAAAATCTAAAAAGAGTTGAGTCGTGGGCATTTTAGCTAAATTTAGATAGGATTCATTAGATAAGTATGCATTTGCTGACACTCTGAACTGAGCTTGCTTACCACACTTGATCAAAAAACACATTCCACCAATCCCTGTTGGGTCGTCAAGTGAATTAAAAACGAAGGAGAAATGTACGTCATGGTGCTGTGCAAGAACAGCCCTAGCGCCCTCACTTCTTTTTTAACTGATCCCCTCTTTTTGCAGTTTGAACTGTGTCAAACCACCGGATGGGATTAAGGGTCGGGTATGAATATGGTGCATTATTCATTTAAACTGCAATGTTTGTATTCAACAATGGTGTGGTGTTTCAGGAACATCCTGATTTACACATTAGCCAAAGGGCACAAAATGACAGAGGACCACTCCATTAGTCTTACCTGTCCACCCTGCAGTGAGCAGTCGACACAGCCGACCTGGATGTTCCCGTGTTTGGCCCCTGGGATAATCTGCAGTCGCTCAAAGTCACTGCCCAAAATTACCACATCACAACCTGACGCGTAGGCCTATCAAGAGACAGGAAAAAAAGAGATGACAATGACACTTAGATCTGCCCAGAGAGAATAGCACGCAGGGTTAGTTGAACTGCACTTGAGCTGGAGCCAGTGTCACTGCATCAACATGCCAAATATGACAGCTCTGGAGTACAAATAGATAAGATTAGAAATCTATGCTATATTTATGTGGCACTCAGGAGATCTTCACATGAGCTGTGATTCACTGTGGCTATGTCTCCTTCACAAGAGGACATAAGGACAGAAATAGTTCTCCTATTGATCCATTCCCTAAAGCGCACGGGAGTTAGTATCTCGTAGAGTTTGCTTTCAGATCACAGAGTGCAAAAGCAGTCAGCAGCACAGCCTTTGTAATTCAGACATGCAGCACAGTCCCAAAACCTAAACAAGGACTTCTTGCAAATGAGGAATGAGCTTTTGCTCTATTAAGTATGACCTTAATTATACAGCATTTAACACAATACAATGACATACATTAAATTAAAATGTTAAGTTAAACTAGCACTGATATAATTAAGCATTCGATCAAGCTAACACATCCCTAGTATCTGAGTGATGGAGGGCCTCATTGTGGCCTAACAACCCACATGGGAGAAAAAAATGTGTCTGTATAATAACCAAGTCTTTATTCAGAAAAATTTGCCAAATGAGCTCAATTACATTTTTTAAATCACTTATCTGTAATGCAATTTTTAAGACAACAAAGAGATTTTTTTCCCCCACATTGTTCTTTTGCTCTGCTTTCTGAAAAGCAAATCAATGAACAAAAATATGTTCTGATAGATCACTTTGGCGAACCCCCTAAGAATCATAGCTCGTAAATAGCTGGGAGGGAAATATTTCCAGAGCTTGAAATATCTTACCGTGAATGGCACATTGTTGACGTTGCCTACAGAGAAACAATTGTCTCCAGGGTTGACAGCCCCTGTGAGGACCTGATGGAGATTCATGACTCTTGTTTATAGTACCCTTGCGCTCGTTCCTCTTCTCTCCTTTCTCACAACACCCTCCCAGTCCAGCTGAGATTCATGGGAAACCATGGGAAGGATGTGTTCATCTTTACTACAGACTTGCTGTTTTGAAGATAGGAAGGGAGAGATAAAAACATGACATGTAAAGAGAAAGTTTTGGCTCAGTAAGCTTCACACCTAGGGCGTATTACTAACACATGTATATTGACAGCAGATTGATTTAACACTCACACTATTGCAAGTACACAAGTACTTGCAATAGTAACAAGGAGGAAATAGATGATCTGCAAATTGTTGTTGTGCATATATGGCATCAAGCGTTCTTATACCTCTTCTGCACCAGTTCAAAACTGCATGAAATTAGTCTCACAATGGGACTTGATGCACAAAAGCATACTGGTATTGTGAGAGGACCCACTACGAATAAGCATTAAACCTATTTGGCACAGAGACAGCTGAAAAAGGCATATTGTCGCCAAAGCTCATTCTGTCCTGATGGCCTATCATAAAATCCGTGCCATTTAGCGCATCAGCCGTTTTAGAGGTTATCATCGAGAGTTATTTAGCCACAAAACAAATGCAGTCAGCTTGTTTATTGACAAAATATTTAGCAAGTACAGGAAGCGAAATGACCACAATGGTGGGTAGGCACCTGTGGGGTAAAAGAGGGCTTTCAGGTACCTAAAAAAAAAAAAAACTGGACAAGCAAGGTGATGGTGTTAGTAGCCGTCACAAATGCCGTACAAGTACACCGTCACATTATCTCTACGGGGCTTTCTAGCAATGTGGCATCAGCTTATGTGGACTGTCCAGGTGCAGACTGCTTCTGGAAGTTTTTAAAACGATAAGGCATTTCAAATGCATCACAACTTCTCCCGGAGGGACTTAAGTAACAGAGATAGGACAAGTTATTGGGTGGATAACAACAGGTAACACAACGGCATTAACTTTTAAAGAAATGTCTGTGTATGTCCAGTGTTTTACCTGTGTACACTGGCAGTAAGTTCAGTCCAATAGACATAAAAGGGTCATTATTAAGAGAAGTGCAGAAAAGAGTCAACACAGTGCAGCCGCCTCACTACAACAATATAAGTGCGGTTGATCCACTTTGTCTTACTTGTCTTAGTCCAACTTAACTTAATTAGAGTAAAAAAAAAAAACCACTCACAGAATAAAAATACATACATACCAGGTGTCTTTAAGAGTTACTGATGTGACCTTATCTCACTTTTAGGTTTAAGGTACCTAACTTGTCATTTTAACAACACAATAAAACGTCTTTTTAGTTAATGAATCTCAAGTCCCTGAGTGTCCAACTTTACGCCTACAGCATTAATATAAAGTGCAGCAGCAACGTTGAGTTATGTTGTAAGTGGAGAAAATGTGACTGTTTCCTGTGTTGTGGCAACTCACGTGATAATGTTTCACACGCCAGCACATTAAGACACAACAGCAAATGACACCACATCTGACTAACGCCGTGTCACCCGTACAGATCAAAACCTAGAATGAGTTAAGTGTCCCGATGAATTAAAGCAAACACTTCATACATTAGCTAACATGTTTCCAAGTCCTCGAATCACACGCTAACTTAGCTATCAAGTTTAGCTAGCCATCTGCATTTTACACAACAAGCACCGTAACCCGACCGGTGTTCACAGAAAGTAATTAGCTACTTACTTTGTGATGTTTCTTTGTAGCATGTCTTGTAGGTGTAAGGATAACAGTTACCCCCTTTTCCAATATCTCTCCGACGTTAAATGTTACGGTCTCATCAGTTAGCTAGCGTTAGCGCGTACTAGCTTGTGAAGCGCTCTTTTTAGCGAGCTGAGCTAGAAAGCTAGCTGTAGATCACTTATGACACACAGTTAAACATGACAGTGTCTGCTCGCCGATGCGAGCAGCTTTTAAAACACTTCCTTAACTGCTAACCATAAGAAGGAGCCAACCTCTTTCCAAGGTTAGCAAATAAAACGCTTCCAAGGAGGAAGCTTTTCCTTATGCTGAAGATGTGTCATGATAGTGACTGTTTCGCCGCAATGCATTGTGGTCCTTGTAGTTGGCTTTTTGACAGCGACGCATAAATTCAGCATGGCACACACCTGCCTGCAGTTGAAGACGTAGAGAGGTTTTCCGTGTGTTTTTGGTGTTATTACTTACTGCTTAGCTTAATGGACATGGTCTGGTTGTGTTTGTTTGCACATGTTTGAGTGACTCTGCTCAACCTGACCTGCCTTTCTCAAATAAATGTTCAAAATGTCAAAAGGTGAGTTTGTAAAGTTGTTAGTCCAGCTGTTTTTGTTAAGGTAAAAAGTGGTACTGTGCCTATTCAGAATTGGAAATATGTGTAATTGTTCCCAGATCTTCAATTAAGTACAATACCAGAGTCCATAAATTGGTGAAAATATAGTTTTTAAATAAACAACTTAATTTAATATATTACTATTGTTTACCTCATCCATGGGTGTCAAGATGAACATGATCATCTGTGAACTCAGATCTGTGGAGAAGTAAAATAAACCAGAAAAAAAGTTTGGCTGTGCTCAGGCAACCTGTAACCACACACAACAGTGATGTCATGGTGTACTGTGTATGATTCAGTATGTATCAATACTATGTTTCTGTGTCACTCATGCTTTTCTTATTTTTTTTCTTAAAGAGCGAGAAATATTGGACTTTGGTCCACAAAATCTATCATTTAAAACTTCTAACCTTACAGTGAGGTTAAATTATATTCCACAATGTTCGCTAATTAGATGTAAAATTAATGTAAATGTATCATTTATGGACTATTCTTGTCTGAGATGAGGGAAAGAGATGTGGTTAAAGTCCTTGCATTAAGCCTAAATAACCACAGGGTGTCACTCTTGCTCAATACACTGGATTCCAGTTTACTTTGATCGCTCCAAATGGTTGAGCTATATGTACGATATATACATATATAATATGTATTATGGTATTCCTGAATACACTTTTACATCCTAGACATAAACATGTATACATATTTCACATATTACTATATTAGTAAAAAATAAAAACATGGAGAATGGTTGATATCAGGTAGACTGAAAGGTGGCTCTAAATCTTGCAAAAATAAGACTAGTTTCTTGCAATATGACATTTAATGAACACAGAATAAACACAGAATTATATGTAATCTTATATACACTCATAATATTTAGCGTCTCACTTTTTTTCCCACTTGCACTGTATTTCTGCACATTTGGCACAATGTAATGGGCAAAACACTGTTGAATGGGCAAGTAAATGAGGATGGGGGTTGTAAGCTTCAAACTCAATTAAAGCATGTGGAGATAAATGGGACAGACACTCACCATGAATAATTAAAATGGCTGACATGTCAGTGACATTGGGGAAGGTTGGTGATGTTTATTGTCATGGCAGTTGGATGGTGGTGATGATGAAACTGTTGACTTCCCGGTCAGGAAGTAGGTCACAGCTTTATTAAAGATGTAGCTTAGTAGTATAACTGTGTTAAATATTACATTGCCTCTCAGTTTTGACATACACATGCACGACCACCGTATTACTGCACAGGTTACATTTATGTGCACTAAATGTAGAAAATTGACATAATATTTTTGCATACAGGCCTGTGCACACACCCACACTCTCACGCACACCATCCATCCTAGTGTAATAATGTCACCTTCCCTCGTTTTAACATCTCAGTTTTCTACCTCTGGGTTTGACTTTGAGCAACATTCACGGAGAAAATAAAAAAGAATTCTTTTATAGACAAACTCTAGTCCACGGTGTATAAACGATACTGCTGTTCAGTGTGATATTGAATTTTCTGATTTTGTGTAAGAGTGTGTAACTCGGTTTCTTTTTAGTGGAGACACCCAAAAAGAAAGAAAACACTCTCTGTTGTACACTGGAAAAACTATGATAAAGTTTAGTTTAGGTTAGTTATGTGTTAAAGAACCCTCCTGTGCCACGATATGTTCTTTGTGAAAGTGTTATCTTGTGTAAAGAGTTTTCAGTTATGGTGAGCTTGTACTCTCAGCCAAGCTTTTATTTCAGTGTTAGAGACAGAGAGCTGAAAGTTAGATGAGGTCCTAAAAATATCTGATAATCTCTGTGCCTGGTCCAAGACATATTTGGCAGCATCCCTCAGAACCTTCAAGATTGTTAATCTGGAGAAACCTGGCATGAAATGTGAGCACTGTTTTAAAATATTAACAGTAAAAATAGACAGTAAAGACTCTATATACAGTACATGTAAGGGTAGTTGTTGATGTTTAGGTTGATGCACAATGTCTTAGCCTTTACCTCCAGTATATTTTGCATAAACATTGATACATAGCTATGATATCTGCTGTCCATCATCATTTATACATTAGTTGCACGTTATTTTTGCTAGTACGTATGGGGTAACTGTATTTTATGCTGCTAACTTTGCAGACACAAGATACCACCACCCACTTCCATTTTTGTCTCAACACAATTTGTGTGTGCAGTATTTGGTCTTTCGTTTTGTCATGCTTCATGTTGTGTTTTGTATATGCTCATATAATGTTTATAGTATATAAGTTACTCTTCTATACTATGCATCTGTTTTTGTATTTCCGCTGCTGTGAGACAATTTCCCATGAGTGGGGTTGATAAAGTTAATCTTCTTTTATCTCTCTAAAAGAGAGAATTGGAAAGAAAATAAGTAAATAACTTCATGTTCATGGGTTTCTGGATTTCTGGTGTGCAAATTGATTATATTTTGATCTAATTGGGAGAAGAAAATTATATAAAGGAGAAAATAGGAATAACAGAATATTTACACTGTAAGACAGAAGAGGGCAGTATTGAAACATATAAAAATCAAGGGTGCGGCGAGGCTGTAAGCCTGTCAAGGCGCTGCAATTTAACCTCATGGCCAAACTAACACTTTGCTGCTGCATAATCCTATTGTGAAATAAGCACTGCTCTGCAAATGCAAAATACAGGCTAGTAAAAAAAACACCCCAAACCATTGGCCTGCTCAGTTTTAACAATCATGTAAAATTTATTTTCAAATTACACCAACATAGATCTTGATTATCAAGTATGGGTCTTGCTCCAGATAACATGAACTGAGCCCCAGCTGCTTTGGAAGGTTGAATCAGTCCTCCCTAATGCATAATCCATGAGTTTTTATTTTTCCCCTGAAATGTGAGTTGTCTCTTTGAAGTGTTTTGTGGTATTATTATACTGTGGTTTGACGAGTAATAATGTTGATGTCTTGTATGAGCTGTAATTACTGGATCTGGAGGTAGGAGGGCAATGCCAAAATGGGCTTGAAGTTTCAGTGTGGCCGTGCTTTGATGTTTCATGGGTGGCGGGTAGGGAGGGTGAGTGAAGCGAAGCAGCTTTTCCACAGGAGAAAATACCCACAAGTTGCTGAACTTTTTGTTACAGGGACATGAGTAACCATAATGAAGCATAATGGCAAATAAAACAACAGTTCTTTTGAAGAGACTAGCCATTTAGCATTTGGCTTCAGTAATCACAAAATGATAAATACTCTCATCTCAGGGTAATTATGTGTATCCTTTAAACACTCATCAAATGATAAGCTTTCATTTTGGTGTATGTGTAAAACTGCACTGAAAGGGATAATGGGCTTTGTTTGCGCCGAGTAAACCAAACCAGCTGCACTGCACTGCATGATAATACTGTTTTTTGTTAGTGCCATCTCTGGCACACTTTGTGTTTGTAATCCACCGGCTCTTCCTTCTCTGTCATATAATTTCAACACTGTCCTACATTTCTGCGTAATACAGTGACCTGAGTCAAAGCGTCCTTGGCTGTGAATGTTGTTGAGTCAACTGGAGGTGTGTTTATACGTGTGTGTTTTTGGCTGTCAGCATGTGTGAAGGCCTGCGTACATCAGCGCATGCATCCATCTGTGCGCTCGTGCATGTGAACATGTGTGCGTCATTATTGCATGAGGTGTCTATGAGTGTATCTCCTGTGTGTTTGTGTTGCTCTCGAGCACAGCCTTGTCCTGCAGAGGTGATTGTGCAACGATGGGAACAGACTTTACCGTCGGAGGAAGAAGGGTTAGCAGGCAGGCTGCAGGATATCCCATCACATTAGGACTGCTGCTGCGCCCACTTCCTTCAACTCTTCCCAGCGAGAGGTCAGCAGAGGTCAAGCGAGCTCCTCCCTCTGTCATTATCCTTCAATCACCTGCCGCCCTCACTCACTGCTGACAACAGAACTTTCTCTTCTCCCTCTTCACCCTTTACTCTCTGCACCAGCTTTTGCTCTTTATGAGCCCTCGCCCCTTCTTCTTCTTGTCTGACTGCCTTTATGATTTTCACATCTTTTTACTCTCCATCTGTTCCCCAATTCTCTCTCCTTTCTTGGCCTTTTATTTGTCTCTTTTTGCTCTTTTGATAGCTCCGCATCACTCTCAATTCATTTTCTCTCACAGATTCAGAGAACTCAGGGGTCCCTCTTTCTGAGACCTTTTGTTGAGTCTGCAGCTGATCTCTAGATTGCAACAGAGATATGATATACCCACTGCTGCTTTCACAGACAGACTAGAGATTGAACCAGAGGAAGATCTCCAGTGAGTTTTTAGCAAGAGGGGAGAGGGACTAACTGTGTATTGTAAGCCTGAAAGCACAGTCTAATGTGTGTCAAAAATACAGCTAAAATCTGGGGCACACTGTAATGCAATATAGATGTTATGTTAACATGAATATTTCATGATACAACAATGTACTGTAATGGAATAATGTATGGGTATTGACTAAACTGAGCAACAGAGGTGATAATTTGATGTCTTTATATTCTGTGTCTTGCAAAAAACTGAAATCTTTTAGCCATCATCACGATAGCGGCCTCAAACAAAGAGCAAACATTATTCACTCAATTCAACAGCACTTCAATATTCTAGCATGATGATTCAATATTTTAGCATTTTACCCCACTCAAAACTGGAAATGAGTGATTTGCATTTTACTTATCATATTTGAAATGCACCAAGTTGTACTTTATTCTGCAGATCTCTCCTGGTTTTGAGC